AATTGGCAGCTTTCTGGCAACGGCCATTAATAAAGATTACGGAAGAAAAAATAGAACCATAACTGAGCAACGCCAAATATTGAGCAATGAAATAAGTATTGCTTAAATAATGAATTAAAGTCAATGCCCACTATCTTGTAGTGAGAGTATAATACAGTAGTTTATAAATATATATATATATATACATGTGCCTGTATTTAAATAGCATTGATCTTATTTTGTTATATTTTGGTTTTGGAGCAATTTAATGATTTACAATTTTTTTTTCTTAAAGTGTGTTCTATGATCATTGTCATCTCCTAGACTATAACCTGTTTAACTCAAAAGAATAATGCAGCCTAGTACTATAGCATCATTTAAACAAGAAAACTGTTATAAATTTTAATTATTAAAAATTTGTAGAAAACAATATTTATTATTATTTTTTAATAATAAAATTTAATCGAAAATACTCAATACATTGCCTTAACATAGTTATATATATTATATTAGGATAATATTGTAAACTATATTGCCAATATGCCAATATTGGCCTGTATTATATCCCTATTATTGCCGCAATATTATTTACAATATTGGTGCAATATTTTAAAAATTATTGTGCAAATATTGCAATATGAACATTTTGCCAATATTGGCCAATATTGACTTTACAGTAATGGCGCAATATTGTATCACCAATATTGGCAAAATGTTCACATTGCAATATTGGCGCGATATAGTTTATAATATTGCGCCAATATTGTAGAAAATATTGCCCCAATATTGCGTTAATATTGTTTACTACTTGGGTATACATATATATATATATATATATATATATATATATATATATATATATATATATATATATATATATATATATATATATATATATATATATATATATTAGCAAATTGATGATAAGTGGTCCCTAAACAGGCTTTGTAAGCCCTTTAGAGACTTGTTTTTGTCTATACATGCATAAGTTTTACTTATTAGGGTGAAGACAATTTTATAAATGTGTATAATAGTGACTCATTCCCTGTTTCGAAAAGGAATTTTCAATTCCCTTTTTGAGACTCGTTTTCCTCTACAACGGCATATTTCTACCAACTATTGTCAGTATTACATGCATCAGTTTTACTTATAAAGACAAACATATGCATGAATACAGCAGGGGTAACTTGGGGTGGTGGTGATCTCTTTGTAGATTCAGTTGAAGAACATTTCCTATGATACATAACTACTTGGTAGAGAAGCTGACGTTGACTATCATTTTTTATCAAAACTTCATTAAAGTCAGTGGCAGAAGTACCTGCCTGTTCTGCACAGCCACTAACCATTTTATGGCACTATCCTATAAGCAGTTTTGTAGTCATCACAAATAGCCCAGGTTTTCGAAGATGATGTCAAGTAATTTTTTGGTAGATTAATAGAGTCAAAAAAACACATTGTGTAACAAAACTAGTTATAGAGAGTTTTGATTAACTTTGTTAGGAGTTTTCTCTTATCACCTGCTAATGGTTAGGAGCTGCTTTGTTAGGAGTTTTCTCTTATCACCTGCTAATGGTTCTTTTTGTAATGCATTTACAAATTTCACAGACAAGGAAAAGTGCAGTCAAATTTAGATTTATCTCCTCACCATTATTTAACAAAATCTTTTCTAAATCCATATTTTGATTACATTGTTGAAAAGTATTTTACTTGCAATAAGTAAAATACTTTTGCAAATTTTTCTTATTAAACTATAGCTCAGAAATTTATTTTTAATAAATTTAATAATAGTGAATTTATGGTTGCATATAGGGGATGGGGTAGGTAAGGGGTGGATGGCTTTGAGCACTTTATATTTATTAAACATATATTTAATACAGTGTAAAAGTTTAAAAACATGAATTAATAAAAGCAGCCATCTTCTTAAGTTTAAATAAAACTTAAGAATATGGCTGCTTTAAACTTATCTTATGTGGGTAAAGCAATATCTTTTAATTGTTTTACCATATATTATTTGTTTTTAGATATAATGGGAAACAATTCATAGCAGCATTTAATAAAAAAACATTTTAAGATTAGATTTTAGACAAACTTTGGTCAATTTAGGGTTCTGAAATAGGGTTTTGGGGACCACTTTTCATAATCAGTTTGCAAAACTTTTTTACCTTAATACTTTTTTTTAATCACACCTCACCAAATTAGAGGTTGTGCTATTTAAAACTTGAAAATAAAATTAAAATATTTCTATATTAAAAAAAAACAACCCTAATATATATATAGACCGGACCTGTAAAAACATGGGTCTTTGTAAGTCTATTCCACACCAATCTTTTCTATACTTTTCCTTATATCTAAATCCTAGCTTTCTAGACCCATTAGATACAGGTCTTTACTAAACCTACTATATCTATATTTATCTATTTCACACCAATCATTTCTATATTTTTTATATTCCTTATTTACTTCAATATTTTTTAGTAAAATAATTCATTCTGGAAAATTGCTTTAAGAGCAAAAAAATAAACAAACGTATCTTTTCCGCAAATGTAGAGCTTATAAGAAATTTATAACTAGATTTGATTATAACATAAACCATTATTAGCTCAATGGTTTAGTGCGCTGTCATCAGTGTTCCATATACTGCCTGCAAACTCAACATATAAAAAGACATTTACAATTATTACACTTAGACGTTTGTTTGTAATGCTATACAAATTGTAGAACTAAGAAGATCTTAGAACATTAAAAACTATAGATGTGGCAGTTTGTGGGGAAAAAAACTTTTATACATTAAGTTTGCTTTGCATTTATCTTACATTTTTTAATTAATTTTAATTATGGTGCATTCAATTGCACAAAAAGTCATAAAACTAGTACAGGTATATAATTTCACATATAAGACTTTGTATTTACTACAATAGTAATAAATATAAAGTTTTAATATAAATATAAATATAAAGAAATAACATAGTAATTACTATATTTAGTCTATATTAGAATATATCCCATAAAATGTATTCTATATATTTTAAATAAAAGGAATTTACCTAAATAATTTAAGTAAAATCTTTTTTCTAGTTTTTTCTAATTTTTTGCCACAAAGTGGCATTAAGTATGCAAAATTTTTTGGCTTCAACAATTTGTAAAAAAGCTGAAAACAAAACAAAAAGGAGGAAAAAAGACTTACAATTATTAGAAAAGTTTTCTTATATTACACGCAATCTTGTATAAAACGTTACATAAGTAGATTTTTTACATTTGCATATAACATATGTGTTTCTATATATTGTTTATATATAGATGCAATTTTATTCCTATGCAATAAAGTTGAGCTTATTTAGAGAACCCACTTGAAAAATGTGTTGATTAGTTGCAATCGGTATAAGAGTTTATAAAATGGTTTGTTTTTCAATTACATGCATAAACTTGATAGATCAGTGGTTTAATGCACTGTCATGAGTGTCGTTTGGCAAGGATTTAAATCCACCCCTTAACACAATATAATTTCAATTTTTTCAATCTGGCCATATATATTTATAGCAAAAAAATAAATATAGCAAAAAAGACTTGTAATTGTTAAATTATATATATATATATATATATATATATATATATATATATATATATATATATATATATATATATATATATATATTATTGCCGAACTTGATAGTAGTATGTTATGTTATTAATGTGCTCAGGTAATTAGTTCTAATAACCTGTGGAAGGTCTTAAACAAAATTATAGTTTGAAACTTAATAAAGAAAAAATTTAATACGACAGTTCTGCTACTCCAGAAGCTACTGCTGCGAAGGCAAAAAAAAATTTTTTTTTTTTTGCCTTTGCAGCTTTGCATATCTTATATATATATATATATATATATATATATATATATATAAGATATATATATATAAGATATATATATATATATATATATATATATATATATATATATATATATATATATAAGATATATAAGTATATATATATATATATATATATATATATATATATATATATATATATATATATATATACACTTTTATATCTTATATATATATATATCTTATATATATATATATATCTTATATATATATATATATATATATATATATATATATATATATATATATATATATATATATATACTTATATATCTTATATATATATATCTTATATATATATATATATCTTATATATTTATATATCTTATATATATATATATATATATATATATATATATATATATAAGCACTCAATCCTTTTTGCACTTGCTGACAACCTGCAAAAACATTATTAAGTGCAAAAAAAAGCAATAGCCAAAAAAATAAAAGCTTTTTGTTTTAAATTGCAACAAAACGTTTTAAATTGCAACAAAACGTTGTTAATTTCTTCAACTTTTATAAAAAATGGTATTTTTACCAGTTTTTTTTTTAAATTATATTACCTTTTATTTATTTAAAGCTTTCTTTTTATTTTAATAAATAGCAGAAAAATTTAAGTTTTTCAAATTGCGCAGGCTAACTTAAAAATGACCATCCTGTCAGCGCTTTTTCGTGTGCTGACATTAAATTTGAAACGGAAGACTGATGAGAGTGTCCTAAAAAACTTTTTGAATAATATATATTTAATGTGTTCTTTATGACAAAACAATACTGGCTTTAAAAAATTTTGAAATAAAAAATACCTTTAGGGGTCCCTTAAGACCCTTCAACATATAACAAGTTCCCAAAATTATAAAAAAAAAATTATTCAAAACTTGAAAACTTTAAAAAAAAAATGTTATGACAAATAGATCAAAGCATTAAAGCTTAAGTTTTTAAGGCATCATAGCTTTTATAGCTATGATGCATAGCTTTTAGTCACACTGATGTATAGCTTTTAGTCACACTGATGTATAGCTTTTAGTCACACTGATGCATAGCTTTTAGTCACACTGATGCATAGGATATACTTTTTAAATGTATAAAAGCATAAAAACATTTTTATTTAATACATTTCATAAATTTGAAATTCAAATCAACCTTGTTGGAGAGACTTTTGTAATCTAAATCATCTTCATCCTAGCAATAAAAATAAAGAGATTCTGAAATCAAACATTTTATTATTACAAAAATATTGAAACATTTTTATACATAATTAATACATAATTTTATACATAATTAATTTAACTATAATTATGTTAATTGTAACACATAACTAATGAAATATTTTTAAAGAACTAATATTGTTATAAAATATGATATATTGTTATAGTATATAAAATTGCAGCATGATAATAAAAAAGTATATAAAAAACTTACCATCAAACTACCTAGATTTGATTTTTTTTTTCCTACCAAAGCAAACAAAATATATTGATAAAATAGATTTTTAATGAAATTTATTTCAAAATCAAACATGCATATAATAAAAATATAATAGATAATATAAGTATAATAAAGTATAAAATAAAATATTATACCTGACGACTTTTCTAATTCATAAATATTCTAAAACATTAATGAGAAAATTAAAACTTTTTTAAAAAGATTTTTAAAATAACTTTTGAAATAAAAGAAACAAAAGAGTAAATTTAAATTAATAATAAATAAAAATAGTAAAAAAAAAACATTAAAAAAATAGAAGTAACAAACAATATATAAAATTTTGAACTTGTTGCAATAGTTCTTTTTCTTTTTGCATTAGTCTCATCTCTTCAAGCATGATATTTTTAAAATTTTCTATCTCTGTCTAAAATTACAATACATGAATTTTTTTACAAAGCAACATAAAATATAAAATTGGATAAAAAAAGAAAACCAAATATATTCTGTAAGTTTTTACATTAAAAATATTTTTCTTAGTAATAATTACTAAGAAAAATAGTAGTAACCAATACCTTTTTCCTTCACATTTAATGCCCATGGTTCCACAAAATGGAATCATGGACAACTGTGTGGTCAAGACATGCCATTTTTTAATTTAAATATAATAAATAATGGAAAAAAATAAAAAAAATAAAAAAAGTAAAAAAATAAATATCTAAAAACATTCACAATAAATCAACATAAATTTGTTAATTTCTAATACCATTGGCCTCAAAAAGTTAATTCATTAGGCAACAAGACATGAGCCATGTTGCAATAGATGACAATGCCCTTTCTCGTTTAGACAAGGTACAAAAACACATTGTAAACATAGTCGGACTTGCTCTTTTAGTCAACCTCCAACCATTATCACATCATGGTAATGTTGCTTCACTTTCTCTTTTCTACAAATACTATAATAGACACTGCTCTAAAGAGCTAACGTCTCTTGTGCCATCTACTAAAATTGTGACTCATTATTCAATAAGTCCAAAAACTTTAATTCGCCTAGTTTTTTTCCTTGAACACCAGTTCTTTGGGATTTGCTTCCTTTATCTTGCTTTCCTGATTTATACAATTTGCAATCTTTTAAGTTGTCTGTCAATCGTTATCTTGCTCTATAAACTTCATCTTTTCTCTTCCAGTAACTTTCAACTCTAACAAGTGGTTGCTTGCAGCCTTGTTAGAAGCAAAGATGTTGGGAAAAAAAAAGTAACCAGTTAATAGGGTGCTCATGACCCAAATCCTGATCTGTTTAATATTCTACTTTAAAAACATTTCAAATTTGATTACATAATAATTGAATAAATTTGATGTTAAACACAACTTTAAATTGAGAGAAACTTCATGTACTTTAAAAATATAATTTGCGTAAAAAAAAATCAAACATTTTATCTATATTTTTTAAAAAATGATTTGATTAAATAATTACCTTCATTTTCTCCTGCTCCTGATTTTTCCAAAGAGCATGTTCTTTTTGTATATCTTGCATCAACTTTTCATTCTTTAAGGAATCCTATTTAAATGAATAATACTTCAGTTAATTAAGTTTAACATTGTTTAGGTTGATTGATGAACATTGATTATATCTACAAACTGTATATAATTTTAATATTAATTTATAATCATTCTAATAAATAATTGATCTAGTCACCTAATAACTTAAATTGTTAACTTAAGTTGTTGTTAAAATAATTTTAATTACTCACTTGTCGCACACACACACACATCTGTGTGTGTGTGTGTGTTTATATAAATATATATATATATATATATAAATATATATATATATATATATATATAAATATATATAAATATATAAATATATATATATATATAAATATATATATATAAATATATATATATATATATATATATATATATATATATATATATATATATATATATATAAATATATATATATAAATATATATATAAATATATATATATATATATATATATATATATATATATATATATAAATATATATATATATATATATATATATATATATATATATATATATTTATATATATATATATATATTGCCTGACTTGGCTAATGTCCAAATTAAATTAAGCTTTTTGTCGGACTTTTTGAAAAAGTCCAACTTATCAAGATTTCAAGATTTATTGAATGTTTTTCAATGTATAAATATTATGTACATATATATAGAACTTATCATCCTCATGTGAAATATTCAGTTGTTGGCTTTGTCAACGTTTCATCAGGGGTTTTGTTTCCTTCATTTCTTCGTTAACTATTTCAATGATATTTTGAACAATTTCTTTATCTGTCATCACTCCTCCCATTATCAAAACATAATCATCAATCGTTAACAAACCTTCGTAAGTAAAATCATCCCGAACAAGATCTTCATCTCGCTGACATGACTGATTTATTCAATTTTTTAATGCAGGGAAGTATTCATCATTTTTGTCTGGTACTACTTCCTTAAATCCTGCTTTGAAACTTCATTCCAAAAATAAAACATTTTTGTAACATCAAGTATGAGGACTGAAGACATTTGTTTTTTGTTACTAATAGAATTTATGATCTTGTTAACTAATTTAAGATTCTCAATATTTGGATGGGTAGTGCAATTAATAATAACAATTGCTACCTTATGGCCTTCTAATGCAAACTTTCTGTTACTTTATTGACTTACTTTTAAATTTATGGCGATTTTAAACAATTTTAAAATCGCCATAAATTTTATTAGCTATGGTTTTTGGACTTTGCTATTTGCTTTTTATGCAGTGCATGGTTTCATGCAGTGTGTGGTTTCATGCAGTGCGTGGTAATGAACCAACTGCATTTCAATTGGAAATCAATCAATAAAATGTAATGCTAAAGCTATTTCTGCATTGTATGAAAAATTAATATTGATTTTTGCTTAGGGGGTTTAAAGAAATATTTACTCAAAAAATTAAATGTTTTAAATTAGAAAAAAAACTAAATGATAATAAAAATAATATCAAAGAAAAAACATTTAAAAATAAGCTATTAAAGTTTTGTTTAAAATAACTATGAAAATTTAGATTAGTTTTTATATATTTTTAAACTTCTGTCTTTTAATTTTGTACACATATCTGCAATATTGAATAAAATTTAAAAGTATTTTGTATTTTATTTAACAATTTCTTTTATTTAAAATATTTGATCACTGCTAAAATCATTTTGACTGTTGTGATTAGCTGTTGTTTTTTAATAATTATATTGTGCTCTATTGTGTTTTATTTTTGATTTGACTATTGTATTTTAATCTGATGATTTATAAAATGAATTAAAATAATAAAGTTTAAATCATAAAATTTAATAATAATAAAAACAATAGTAATAATATGGTTTTACAAAATCATTTTATATCATAATTCAAGATCAACATAAATATTTTTTATTGAATAACAGCTATTGAGAACAGATATTATTATTAAATTTTATGATTTAAACTTTATTATTTTAATTCATTTTATAAATCATCAGATTAAAATACAATAGTCAAATCAAAAATAAAACACAATAGAGCACAATATAATTATTAAAAAACAACAGCTAATCACAACAGTCAAAACAGTTTTACAGTTTTTAAAAAGCTAAAAATTTAAAGACTTGGAAGCATTTCCAGAAATCACAATTTGCGATCACTTAATTTGAGCTCTGGATAAAATAACTGATACTGTTTTAAATGATACATTTTTTATTCCCAACTATCTAATCATCCATCGGATGTTTAAAAGTTTTAACAACTAAGTTCTTTTGAAAAATGCAAAACTTTGACTTTGAAAATTGTTACAGACACAGAAATATTATGGTGGCGGGTGTTTAAAAGTCACATACAACATGCTTTATCTAAATCCATATATTTAGGGAGACTCGCATTTGAACTCTTTTTGCAGATGATTTTTTTTTTTTGATTTCTGAATATATTGTGTTTTTTCTTTTGACCATCTAGACAATGTTTGCATTGGAATGACATATTTCTTTAATATACAGATAATTCTCTATTTGTCAAGCTTGGTATTTATTTATTTTTCTGTTATAGTTCTAACAGTTAGCTTTCTTTTAGTCATTAATAAATAGAATTAAATAGAAGCTTAACCAAGAGACGAAGTAGCAGAGTACTTGAAAGAACCTCTACTCACAAGTCACAAAGACATGTTTGAATACTGAAGGAAATCCAAGTTTATAAATATGAAAAACTACAAAAATATCTAGGGAATGCATTTTTTATTAGAATAACTTCGGATGTGGTTACTTAATTAACTTGCTGTAAGCTTGACACCTTCAAAACATAAAGGCGTTCAAAAAAGAAACCAAACTCTCCCATTCTCAAGTTGACAACCATGTGTTTTGGAAATGTGGCGTTACCATCAGAATTGCATATTTTTGTTCAATTGAACAGTTTTTTAATTAAAAACATGCGGAAGGTGTTATTCCATCTAGTTGAGTTCCATATGTCAGTAGTTATACTAACATAATTAGCTTTCTTTGCCAAGAAAGGAACTTTATCTGTTAATTTCTGATAAATATTTGGAATTTCAATAGTCAATAAGTATTTTCTGCCTGGTATTGTATAACTAGGCTCCAAAAACTCAAGTAATCTTTTGAAACCAGGGTCCTCTACTGTACTAACATGCTGGGTATCGGTGCTTGGTATCATTTCATGAATAAGCTTTATAATTTTTATTGCCCTTGAATCTGTGAGAGGTCTAGTTTTTGCAAACACTAGGTGTATAATTGGTTTATTATGAGATAAAGATCTAGGCCTAATTTTTTTGGAACTGTATGCAGAAAAAGACATTTTTGTATTAGTTTCTGCACCCTTAGACCTTTCTGCACCCTTAGCATTGGATTTGTGAATATGATTGCAAGTACAAAAAAACTAAAGTTACTTAAGTAAGGTCATAGAATTTTCAAAACTTGAGTGAAGACTGGACCTAGAAGATGAGTATACAGTAGAACTATCATGGCATACATTAAAATCAACAACACTATCAGTATTCTGTTTCTGATTTTCCATATCAGATTTATGGAAATTTGAATAAAATCGAACATGCTAAAGTGAGCACTTTAGCATGTTGGATGTTGCATATGACTAAGAAATTCTGCAATCACCCAATCAGATTTGATTGTTTTGCAAAAGTTACATATTAAATAGTTAGTGTCATTTACCTTGATTGTCTAGTCCCATACCTCTTTTTTTACATTTTCGTATTCAATATAAATTTATATATTCTGAAATAAAAATAACATTTATAACAATAAAATAACTATTACAGCAATAATAATAAAAACAATAACAACTATTAATATAATACCAATAATAATAAGAAGAAGAAGAAGAAGAAAGACTAAAATAAAAAAAATATATATTACGATTGTTTCCACACTTTTTTTAAATTCAAATATCAATAAATTTCATAACAGATAATTATTTATTTTGCGTAAGTACAATACAAAATAAATAACTTCAGTCAAGGCTTTTGATTACAGATACTTAACTTCAATATTGATGTTAAACATTAAAGTGAGATTTTAACATAAAACAAACATAAAGTGTTGAAGAAAAGAAAAGCGAAAAAACAATATTTTTTATTAGTCATGACAACAAAAAGTGTATATCTTTATCTATAAAATATGTTCAATGAAGAATTTACAAAAGTAGTGAAGCTGTTAAACCAAAAAAATAAATAACTTAAAAGAATTTGAAATGTTAAAGTTTGTTGAAAAAAAAAAGAGAATCGCAATTTTTTGAGAATTGGTGGCGTCAACTCACCTCTAGTTAGAAGCTAAATGTGAGCATGTTAAGGAAAAAAATGAAATTGTTCAAAGTATTACCTCATTCTGAATGATTTTTATTTTCTGTTTTTCTGCTATAAGCTCAGCTTCTGTAGCAAGTAACCTTTCTCTTACAACATTTATCTCATTCTGAACCTGAGAATTGTACAACGACGTTGGTGATAAGGGAAACATTTTTTGACTTTCATTAGGATGCCTTCTCTGAAGGTGACTTGACAAGTAAAATTCAGAAACAAAACTTTTATTGCAGTAAACGCACTAAAAATAAACTTAAATTAATAACAATATTCTAGTTTAGAGTTGCATCATTATTGTATTTCTTTTATTAATGTTAAAAGTAACCATAGTAACTATACTTTGTACTGTCCACTAGCTCCAGCTCTGATCATTAATTGGTAGTCTGCAATTTGCACCTTTGCTTTGTTAAATTCTTTTTTCAGTTTCTTGTACATTTCATTTCGAAGATTTAATTCATTTTTAGTTGCTGCTTCTTGCTAATAAAAATTATATTTCTTGCTAAATAATTATAAATATATAAGAATCAAGGTAAGTTTTTCTAAACATTTTTGCTAAAAACAAATAATAGCAGTCCTTGATTATCTTAAAGTGTTAAGTTTTGGAGTTAAATGAAACAAAAGAAGTTATTAGTTTTATCTACAGTAGCATCTAAAAATCTGTGGACAGACTAAATAAAATTAAAATTTACTAATATTTCAGCACATATTTTACTATATCAAAGATATTAAATTCCAATTAAAAGATTTTCATATTTATTGCTATGTTTAGAATGAGTATTGAATATTAAATTAACGTAATTTAATTGATTTAAAATTAATTATTTTTTATGAACTCAAAAAGTTGCAGACTGAAGCTTTTCACATTTTTCCAAAAATTGCCAATTTATTGATATTGCAAACAAATACTTTGAGGAAATAATTAAAAAGCTTCATTTATAAGTGATTAAGGTCACGGGGTATAAGAAATGTATAATATCTCCAGTAAAACAATTGATAGCAAGATCAGTAAAACAATTAACAGTGAGATCAGATGGAATTTTGTTTCATAAGACAGTACAATTTTTAAAGACCCAGTGTGTCAGCTGAAAGACAAATTATGAAGAGATATGAACTTACTGGGTCCACAAAGATTCAAAAACAACCAAAAGACCATGCAACACATTTTTATCATCAGGATAAAAAGCTTGTGATACCAAGCAACAGAAAAAACAATCCCAAACACACAGTCAAATTGGTTCAAGAATTCCACAAAAAAAATAATCTGTGTTTAGAGGTTGATATCCCAATTAACTGGCATAGTTTTAGATGCAATTGATTATTTATGGGAACATTTTGACAGTCAAATATTGACAGTCAAACATCAGGTAGCAAACTTACAAATCATGCTACATCATTCAGAAAAACCAAAGAAAAATTATACTCAATTCTCATTGATGTTTGTATTAATTTAGTTGACTTGCTTCATAAATGCAAAGCCATTCTTTATTGTAAAATTAATCTTTTGATAAAAATACAAAGTGTGATTTTGCATTTCTAATAAATTTTGATCAAATATTGTTAAAAAACTTCCAATTTTAAAATATAATCACTTTGTCAGCTAATTTTAAACACATCAAAAACTGTTTTTAATTAAACTATTTTGTAAATCAATTTAAATATGTTGATAAAAATATTTTAAACACATCGAAAAATGTTTTTAATTAAACTATTTTTTAAATCAATTAAAATATGTTGATAAAAATATTTGTTCAAAACATAATAGTAAGCATAAAAACATTTTAATTGGTTGACAATTTGTTGGCTTTAGTAAGGTATGTGCTGAAATATTAGTAAAATTCAAATTTTTTTACTGTCTTTTTGTCAACAAATTTTAGGTTGCTACTGTATATTTGTTTAACCTTATTTTTTAATAAACTTTATAAATAAAAAAAATTTAAATAAAAAATAAATTTTACTTAAAATTTTATTCAAACCTAATTTATCGTAAAGTGCTAATACTTGTTGTGTGCTGTTGTATTCTATTATTTTGTTGCTTAGTGTTGTATTGAGTGTTCTAGTATTTAGTGTTGTTTTGAATGTTCTTGTGTTTTGTTGTTTAGTGTTATGTTGAGTGTTATGTTTTGTTGTTTAGTATTATGTCCTCTAATATATTCATGTGTTTGCTTTGTACATATTGTTTATTATTGCTAAAACTATAAAAAAAAACAAAGTATAAACCTGTTGAACAGCTTGAATATGTTCAGTAACAAGATTGATTGTGTTCTGCTTTTCCTCCAAACTTGCTTGTAAATACTGCTGACAGTGCAAAAGGTATTCAATCATTAGCTGTGCAAGGCGAAATAACTTTATAAAGTTTGGATCCAAACTATCATGACCCTGAAGACAAAAATTTGTAATTATAATTAAAAAAAAAAAGTTAAAATCTTTTTTCTTCATGTTGATACCAGCTAAACCTACAACCAGCTGAAATAAGTTTCAGTCACAACCTAACTTTCACAACCTAACTTTCAAATCCTAACTTTCACAACCTAACCTAATTTTCACAATTATTTTTTTTCTAAATTTCTTCAATTATATAAATTTGAAGCTCATTCTATTTTTAAATTAGCGTGTCAGACATTTATAAAAAATACAATTTTAGAATCAAGAACTTTTAAAAATCAGAACATCTAGACTTTTTGTTTTTTATGTTATTCACCTCCCCAAGACTCAGAAGGCCACTACAGTAGAGGAGACTATTGTGGTTACAACCCCCTCTCAACTCTTTATTACCAAAACACAAACTTTGATGAACAAGGTCGCTGCGCAGAGAAACAAGTTGAGCGCAGTACTACCAAGGACATGGAGAGGGTTGAAATCAGAACTTCTTCCTTATGAAGCAAGGGCTCTACCACTACACCACTACTGCAACTTAGATAAAATGAAAAAACAATATGTCAGAAATATACAAAATTGCATACATTAGTAATTAGTTTAGCTAATTCTCAAATGAAGTAAAACGGTATAAAAAAAAATGTTTTTAAACTAAAAATTAAATAGTGACTTTAAATGTTATTATTGTAATTTTCGGAATTGGGCTAATAAGTAATATTGTTGAAGTAATTATTATATTTTGTTCTGTAGGTCCTTCAAATAAACAAAATTGGTCAATGTTGAAATGATTGCACCATACGAGTCATTTAATGCCATTGAATTCAACAAATTCTACAAATGAATTTAACAAATTCTACAAATGAATTCAACAAAATTCTACAAATGAATTCAACCTTTTCTACAAATGTTTGCACTACAAAAGTTTACATATAAAAAATGAAAAGCACACAGGAGAAAGCATGAAAAGGTTTATCTGACAAGGACGGCTGCTTGAAATGTAAAAAGAGAAACTTTATGTTTACAATTGTATAAAATGTTTAAAACTGGGTAGTCAAATTTATTGGGACCATCAAAAAAGCTAGATGATGACAGAATTATTCAACAAGTTGATCAAAAGTTTATTGTTCAGAAAAGAAAAATTGTTTTAATTTTCATTTTATGTTACTGTCAATAAATACACGGAATTCCACTCCAGACCTTCATAAATTGTTTCAAAAAATCAAAAATATCAGTATAAGCAACGGAAAAGACAATAAATAATAATAAAAATTCTTTCTGCGTCTTAGATGTTGAGGAGGATGTGATGGAAAACATAAAAGATGATTTTGAATAGTTAAAAGCAAAATTATATGCAGACTTTATCATCATTGCCGAAGAGTTGTTAGATGTAGATTTTGATATCAATAAATCAATGAAGATGAGGACATGGATTTAAATGCTTATAAAAGACAATTTACAATTACTTTCTTTGAACATGCAAAACTTTAAAACACAACTATTGTATATAACACTGTTTGTTTGCTTTATTTCTATTTGTTACTTTTACAAGAATATTTGAAAAAAAGTCAACAATAATTCAAAAATCTCTCTAAATCAAACCAAGTTACTGTATTCTTTAAGTTTAACTTATACTTTTTATGAAGTTAAAAGTCAAAAACTTAAATGTAAAATACTTAGCATGCAATCTTTATTATCATATTTTCAGATACATATTTCTAATTTGATGTTCTGGTGATGGCTCAGTTATTTTTAAAAGGGAAATGCTTTTCGAAAGAACATAGAAAACCTTTTTGTTGCAATGGAAAAATTTAACTTTTCTTGATTTAATTGTTTCTTCTTTTTTAAACCCCAAAAGTTTGTATAAAGTCTTTAAAAAACTTTGTTTTGTAAACAGCAGCCATGATTTTTATCTAATTTGGCAACAGACAAAAGGTGCACAATTAAATCACACAATACTAAATTAAGGTGTGCGTACCCATTCACCTGTCAATCATTAGGTCTACTTTTGTTTATAGTATATAAATTAAGGTGTGCGTACGCATTCACCTGTCAATCACCAGGTCTACTTTTGTTTATAATATAAAAATTAAGGTGTGCGTACACATTCACCTGTCAATCACCAGGTCTACTTTTGTTTATAGTATATAAATTAAGGTGTGCGTACACATTCACCTGTCAATCACCAGGTCTACTTTTGTTTATAGTATATAAATTAAGGTGTGCATACACATTCACCTGTCAATCACCAGGTCTACTTTTGTTTATAGTATATAAATTAAGGTGTGCGTACGCATTCACCTGTCAATCACAAGGTCTACTTTTGTTTATAGTATATAAATTAAGGTGTGCGTACGCATTCACCTGTCAATCACCAGGTCTACTTTTGTTTATAGTAAAAACTAATGTAAACTCCAGATTAATAAAGCTTCTTTTTTGACCTTAAAAAATTAAAAGAGGTCTAATAATCATTAAAAAAAATACATGTGTAAAAACACAAATAAATACATATGAAGATACATGTTTAAAAATATACACGTGTAAAAACCCAAATGTATACATAAAGGAACACTTAAGAATACAGGATTTAGTATAAACTAATTAAATAAATATAGTTTCTAATAATGTATGTATTGAATGCATGAATGCATTCAAGTGTTACTCTAATAGTCAAATTTTTTGAAAAGGGAGTCAAAGATTTTAAAGTGGTTAGAGTGGTTATAGTTGCAAATACAGAATCAAAGCACTCAATTATTATAATATATAGTAATCTAATAATCAGAAACAAGTAAGAGGCACAATAAAAATATACAACCTTTGTAGATGTTAAATTTGCAATGTATGTAGTTTACATGAAAAGTCAATGGTGAAATAAGATGTAAAGCAGAGAACTCAGTTAGAGTGATGTCATTCATCAATATTAACAACATTGCAGTAATTATTTGTAGTAAACAACTGAGTTTTGTTTGAGTTAAAATTCACCAGCAACTGCAAGATCCATGCAATCTTGAGAAGAACAAAAAAAAAAAAAAGATTGACTAAAGAGGTGCTAATTGAAAGCATATAAAAAAGAGAGGATTTAAACTAGATTTCAAAATGAATAGGTTTCAAAATGATTTGATGCTTAAGTATATCCCCAAACCAAGCATTGGAGTCTTGAATCAGTGTTGATTGCAAATCTAAAAATAATAGCAATCAACACTTTTAATTTTATGTACATAGTATGTAAAGAAATCCTAACTTTTTTAAAAATTAAATTTTTCTTGTTATATATAAATCATATATTTTTTTTATATATATACAATTTAAAAGAATAATTTCTTATTGTAAAAATTATTAAAACAAAAAAACAAAACCTTAGTTAAAGTAAAATAAACATAAATCAAATAAAAATTTTTTAAACAGATTTTTTACATAATAAAAAATTTTTACATAACAAAAATATTTTAATAAAAATGATTTTGTAGAACAGTTAAATTGTACTCAATAATAGATTTCTTTTTATCAAAGAAATTTACATTTTAAAAAGCTTCAATTAATTGTGATTAACAACAGTATTATTTTTTAATAAAAATGTTTATTAAAATCTTTTTTTTAAAAAATGGTTTCAGTAAAACTAAAGTAGTAAACAAATGATTGATTTATAAAATATGATAAATTGTACAAATAATCAAAAGTACATGAGTCCACTGCCTATTTCTTAACATAATATATCTTTTATCAAATGTTATTTTAAAGTAGATTTGTTCTCGTAAATGCTTTTTACTTTTTATTTAAAAATTTCAATCCCCCACACCATCTCCACCCCCTTACCTTCAGATAAGACTAGATGAAAACAATAAAAAATTTTAATAAATTTCTAAAAAAATTCTCAACTTGTCATTGATATATAATACAAAATTTATCATCTATTACTTTATTTGTTTAAACTAAAAATACAAACAATCGTTTAGTAAATCAAACAAAAATAGTCTTACTAATTCATATTCAATATTGCAGTAGGTAACAGTTGCAATGTTTTCTTGAATTGCATCAACATCAACTTCATTTGCAATTCTATTTATATCAAGACCAGCTGAATAAAAATCAAACTTTGTTTAATACATACATACATACATACATACATACATACATACATACATACATACATACATACATACATACATACATATCAAGACCAGCTAAAAAAAAATCCATACATCCATCCATCCATACATACATGCATACATACATATATACATACATACATACATACATACATACATACATACATACATACATACATACATACATACATACATACATACATACATACATACAAACATACATACATACATACATACATACATACATACATACATACATACATACATACATACATACATACATACATACATACATACATACATACATACATACATACATACATACATATTTACATACATACATATATTAGGGTGCATATAAATAATTCCCACTAGTTTCAAAAAAAGATTTGTCATAATTCTAAAAACTTTTAATTGGTTCTCACAAGAAACTGTTAAATGTTTCAAAAATGCAATTGAGTTTAGAGGGGACACCTATGCAACCTGACACTAAATCATGAAAAAAAATATATTAATTTTAAGAATGTCATGTTGGGTCTTAAAAGAAGCAAAACTATATAAAAACTTAAAAATCATAATTTATTATGATTTTTAATATTCTTTCATAGTATTTTTAATATTTTTAGTTAACCCATGTAATTTTTTACAAAGAAAAATTCAAAATAATTATTTTATGAAATGATTATTTATTTTTAGGATTTTTATATAATTTATCTTCTTTTGAATTCCAATATAAAATACTTAAAAAAAAACTTTACACTTCTAAACTGCGACAATGAATTTGTAATGGCTTAGTCGTTTCGAAGGGTGTAAACTCTTTATTCGAATCTTTATACAGAGAAGTATTTGACTCAACACAGGTCCTCTCTGGATGAACGCATTGTTAAAATAAAAAAATAATGCTTGGTTCAAATGTAGATAGAAGAAATTCAAGAATATTAATTTACTTGCAAATTAAAGACAATTTAAAAAAAAAAGGTAAATCAATCAATATTTAAAGATTTTAAATATTAAATTTACCTCCAAGATGGAGGTATCTTGGAGTTTATGAAATAAAAGTAAAGTCAAAGACAATATAAAAGTAATCCAACTAAAAAATAGTAGTATTGAAATTGATTTAATAGTAATTACAAAAAGATTGAATAAATATTTTGCATCGGTATTCAATGAACCACAAAACACAATCTGTGGAAATCCGGATCTTAAGACTTCTTTTGTAGAGGATTATTTAAGCAAGTTTTTAAGCAATTTAAGCAAGACAACTGTAACTGGAATAGAAAATCATCTAAAGTTGGACAAGGCAACTGGATAAACAATCATCCGAAAGTTCTAAAAGACTTTCGGATGATTGTTTATCCAGTCGGACCCAAGCAACTACAGACCTTTAACATCTGTAGTTTGTAAAAACATAAAATAGATAATTAAAGATAAAATGTTAAAATATTCATGTAGAAAACATGTTAATGAATAAAAACCAACATGAATTTTTCAAGTTGTGTGACAAACTTATTAGAATCTCTAGATATCATCAAGAGTTCAATGAATAATGTTTAGGAAACAATTATTTTATTTCTAGATCTTGCCAAAGCATTTGATTCTGTTTATTACAAAAATTATTGTTAAAACTGTAATCTATATATATAAATATACAAATATATATATATATATATATATATATATATATATATATATATATATATATATATATATATATATATATATATATATATATATATATATATATATATACACACAAAGTGGTGTACAGACGCATTTTGGTTGGTCGCCCACCAGGCAACAGAAATTAAAAATTTAGTTAACTTCAGTAGCCCACCAATGTTTTTTATTATCTGTTTCAATTTTTTAGTTAAAATTTTGTGTTTAGAATAATTCTAGTATAGTTAAGTCATTTTTGCATATGGTACTATGAGAGATACCATATTGCATATGGTACTATGGATTAACTAGAAAATATTTTTGCAAACCAAAATAATTATTTAAAACTATTAATTTGCTCTTCAAATTTAAGAAAAATCATAAGACATGAATGACCTTAGTTTATTCACTTTCTTTAAGCGTTTCCTTTACAAATAATAAATGCAGTAAAGTCTTTATAAAAATGAAAAAGAAGTTCACAAGAATATTTATGATTTTCAGGATATCTACTCCGATGAGCTTTTTCCAAAATCTACTTGTTTTATTAAATACTATATAGTATATAGTATTTAATAAAATATATTTAATAAATTTTAACTAATGACTTGAACATTTAAATAATTTTATAAGTGAAATTAGAATTAGAAATTAAATCAATGCCACAAGAACTAAATAGAAACTGAAATAGGAATTATATTTTGAACTTAAATATCACTGGTAAAAATACCTTTAACCTAAAAGAATAAGCATAATTGAACCTTTATATAGTAAACTTTAGCACTTCAGGGATTTCATCCCTAAAAACTCTGGTTAATTGACTCAAAAAAGTAAAAAAAAAAAGTTCAAGGAATCTAATTTTTGGCCCCAAAGTTTGGAGTCCCGAAGTCTCTAAAAATCAATAGGACTTCACACCCTTGTCTTTGGTCATTCTTTGATCAACAAAATTTCTAACATCTCATTATAAGTTTAATAACTTACTTTCTGATAATCAATATGATTTTCAACGTTCTCAAGATCAAGGTCCTATCTGTGGCCCTGTATTGTTTCTTATCTATATCGATAATCTTCCTGACAATCTTACATCTAAAATGGCTCTATTTGTTGACAACCCAACTTTATACTCCTGTCTTGCCAAAAAGCCTTTTGGTAGAAGTGAGGTCAAATTTTGAATCTGACCTCACTTCTAGAACAGATTGGGGCACGCAGTAGCTTTTAAATTTTAACTCAAAAACAACAAAACTCAGTTATTTACTGCAAACAACTACTGCAATACTCTTTACATTGATGAATGGCAACCCTCTCACTGAGTCCTTTTATTTACGCCTTCTTGGATTTTTGTTTACTACTAAACTTTCATGGAAACCACATATACAACTGATTGCTAAATTAGCATCTGCTAAGGTTGCTTCTCTTTATCGTGCTTGCCATTTTTCTTACTCCAGGGCTGGTTCTTCTAATGATGCTCCTTCTTTTCTAGGTCCAAAAATGCATAGTAAATATAGTTAGACCTGCTTCAATTGCCGTAAATTATCTCTAGTTCCATCAACTAAAACTAATCTTGCTTGACTTGTTATTCAGCAAAGTCTCATTCTTTTACTGCATCTGTTCCTGCATGCTCTAAAAACTTTTATTTGTCTAGTTTTTTCCATGCACCTTAATTCTTTGGAACTCTCTCCTATCTTCATGTTTTCCTGACTCATACAACATCCAATTTTTCAAATCTTCTATTAACCGTTTCCTTGCTCTATAAGTTTATTCTTTTTTCTTCTTCTAGTAACTCCTAACTCAAGTGGTTGCTTGCAGTCTTGTTGAAAGTGAATTAGAAAAAAAAAATCCTCTTTTTGCATCTTCTTGGATTATCATTAACTACTGATCTCTTATGGAAAACATATATACAATAAAAATACTAGAAAAATTTATAAAATTTAATTTTAAATAATATCAATATTTTTAAACTTAATATCTGTAACAAATCTATATTTACACTACTGCTGTCAGTAAATATGTAATAGATATACAAACTACTATAATAATAACCTAAAATAATTTATTATAATAAACAAGCAACCTACTATAATGATTATGATAAATATGCAACTTACTATAATGATTATGATAAATATGCAACTTACTATAATGATTATGATAAATATGCAACCTACTATAATGATTATGATAAATATGCAATCTACTATAATGATTATGTAAATATGCAACCTACTATTATGATAATAATTATGCTTTATTATTGATTATGTACCTTATTTAAATAAATATCACAAACCAACTTTAAAAATTTCTTACCTAACCGCCTCCAATCAATTTTCTCGTTTCTCTTTTGAAAAAGAAACCTTGAACCTACAATTAAATATTGGATTATAAAAATTAAACATGTACAATAACACTTTATTAGTTTTAGTATAATACTTTGAATTTACCAGTGATATAGACGAACTAAACAATGAAAAATATTAAAATTATTCTTGATGTTGATATTTCTTATCTAATATTGGATGCGCCAATATTAGTTAGGAAAAAAAATTTATATTTAAGATGCAAAATGGGAACTCAAATATAGGTCTTAATACAAACGAAATTATTATAAAAGTAGCATAAATTTATTCTGGAAATTTTTTGAAACTTTAATAAATCCCATTGTTTATTATATTAATATCATATCTTGCTGTATGTGTATATTGGTTACTTTATCATGAAAAAAAAGTTTTTTGCTTTTCAAAGTTCAATAAACCCACAAGCTAAAATGTATGTAAAGTGTCAACCCAAACTTTATTTATAATATATATATATTGTGCAAACCCTACTTTACTTCATTAATAAAAGTAAAAGATCATTTTCACTTTTGTGTGGTTATTTTTATTAAATGTTAAACAGGGATTTTAATTTTTAGTTTAATATAAGACTCTTCAAGGGAAATATTGTGATCTTTTTTGTTTTGCTTATTAAATAATTACCTAAATGTTAGACAATAAATTATTATAATGAATTCAATGCTAAAAACATTTTTTATTATGCATTGATGGAAAGATTTGACACTCTGTTCGCAATACAATAAAGCTAGAAAAATGGATTGCATGCTCCATAATATTCAAAAACCAACTCACGGTTAATGTCATTAACAAAGTTTTTGAAGCCCATAGACAGACTAGTTAACTTGTTGAACTCATAAAAAATGTCCATTTGAAAGCAAATTTAGCAAAAAACGACATACTATATTGCTAAAAATAACATTGTTCTACATTTAGAACTACTCAGGTCCTCTGAAACCAATAAAAGCACAAATTCATTTGGGGAAAGCTTGCATAATTATATACCTTTGTAAATCATTTGATGATTTTAAAACTAACATATTTGTTGACTTACTAGAGTTAAATGCAGTCAAATTTGCAAAAATTGCAGCTTATATTCTAAACCTAAATCAGTATGGATTTTTGAATTTTCCAACTTTAGTAAAAACGGTTTAGTTTGAAATTATGTTTTATTAATTTGAAATGATGTTTTACATCTGCTTGTTTTGTTACTGTATTATTTTTGTGGTGGTACATTTTAATTTATCTAGGGGCACACTGTTAGTGTCCACCTTTATATTGACCTACGTATCCTTTATAACATACATTTATTGTTCTAATAAATATATATAAATATATAAAATGGGTAAAATGGGTACAATATAAGTTAGATACAATATAACTAGAGTACAACCTAAGTTAAGTAATATTTATATTTAATAAATATAATACTACCTAACTTATAACATAATTATAAATACATCTGTATAAATATATTACAATTTTTATGGATTGATTACTTATATAAATAACAGATAAACAATTATTTGCTTATAAATTTTAAAATGTTGTACCTGTTGATTCCATGAGAAAAATTGCATCTAAACATTTTTCTTCCAACCTAATGACTTCAACCGATGAATAAATACATTTTCACAGCTATAAATATATATATTACAAAAATTAAATAAAAAGTTATTGAGAGTTGAATTTGTTGCTGTATTAAAAAATATCTATTTAAAAATATTTTCTGCATCAAAATAGATTTTTCTATTTAATAAATGTTTTTATATAAGTTACCTCCCTAAATTTAAATCTTTCTACAATTGAGAATTTTATTCTTTAAGAAAAAAATAAAAATTTATATAATTTATTATTTAAGAGAAAATTAATTTCAACTTTTACTTTATACTATGCACATAAAATAAAAATCTAGTTTTTCAAATAAGTTAATTTTTGTTGCTGATTAAAATGTCAAGCAATAGATACTGCTTGCTCAAATCCAAACCCTCAGTGATGTTTTACTGAAACCATAGTAAATAAACTAGCTTAGTAAAAAATTAAACACTTTTTAACAAAACAAATTTATCAGAATTTATGACAAAACACACAAATTTTAATGTAGTGTAAATAAAACAATTTATTGATTAACTATCAACTTCATAAAAAAGTAATTTCAAAAAAAAAGTTGTTTAAATCTAGCATGTAGCTAATAAAATTATAAAAGAATGCCAATTTGCAGATTACAATCATTTACAAGAGAAAGGGAACTAAGAACTCGTTTAGAATAGTTAATTATATGTATATATATATATATATATATATATATATATATATATATATATATATATATATATATATATATATATATATATATATATATATATATATATATATATATATATATATATATATATATATATATATATATATATATATATATATATATATATATATTATATGCAAAAAATATATTGCATATCAAAAGTACTTTTTATGATTATGATAAATCAATAAATAAAATGTTTTATTTATGCTACATTACAGTTTTTTTCCAAATGTAATTTTTAGACATAAACTACTTTTGTAAAATAAAAAAATAGTCAGTTTTCAAATCGATTTGCTTGTAATACATTTTTTTCAATATGTTCAATAAAAAAAGCAATGTGATACAATTACTTTCAATATTTTACAAGAGAAAGGGGGTTAAGAACTTGTTTACAATAGTTGAAAAATAAATATATTTAATTATTTTATATGCAAAAAATATATTGTTCATTGTACTTATATTTTTTTGCGTGCATAAATACGTTGGTAAAAACAGAAACACTACAAAAAAAATAAAATATTATCTAATAGTAAAAGCTGAGGCACAATTTTATGGAGTCAATCTTGAATTTCACATAATATAGTATGGAATATAATACAATTTATGTTAAGTAAAAAATATTTGACTTGTTTTGAAGTATAACTTATTTAGATTTTGAAAGAACTTAAATGATTTTAGTATCTTAAGAGACTTTTAAAAAACTAAACTATAAAAATTTTAAAAGTTTAAAAACCTTTAAAAAATATCATTTCCAATTTAAATCAACAATTAAAGGTATATGGTCTGATGGTGAAACTACTGAAGGTAAAGCACAAAATACTTCTAGCTCTTCTGCTAAAGGAATTGGAACAAATCCTTCCAAGATAAAACTTTCATCAACAAATATATAATCCAATGTTTCTCTAAACTGTGGCACAAAAACAGTAAACAATGGAAACCCTGTCACATTTTCAAGTTGAAAAGGACATTGCAATACATAATCTAAATTATAAAGTAGTTTTAGAGAGTAAGACTTCTCATTTAAAAACTGTAGTAGAGGATCTCCTTTTTTAGAATTATAATCTCCACACATAATCAAAGAGCATTTGGTCTGATGTTCTTTTAAAACTTTTTCAACGTAGTTTAAAAGAACAGCTATTTGAAGAACTCTAATTAACTGTGCACCAGGTTTAAAATAAAGATGAGTGTTAAATATACATAAGTGCCTTCCATTTGTTTTATTCTCTGCAAGAATGTGAATTTGCGCAATAGATGATTTTTTACACAGCAAATCAAAAATATCATTATTTTGAATTGCAGCTAGAATATCTTTATTACACTCTAAATGTAATGCTTCTTTAACCGAAATACTGAAATCTTTCAAGTGAATAAATTTATTTTTTCTGATAAAAATAGCTTCCCCCTCAGGCATTTTACCTGTTTTCAAATTTAAATACCCTTCATAATTATAAATTTGTAATACAGGTTTCAAATAAACTTGGAACATTTTCAACTCGCACTCTTGCAAGCATAATATATCTGCATTAAAGCCAATAAGTTCTTTTATGAGCAAATTCATTCTGTAACTTAATTTTAAAGCATATTTTGGACAGTATGGATAGAGGACTTCACTTGCATACTCACTGTCACAAAAAACATCTGCTAAAATATTATATGTAATAATACGCAATTTGTCATAAGATTCAATATGTTTAAGAGTATAAAGATGTCTATTTTCAAATACACAAACTCCTGGACCAGGTAAAACAAGGCTACTTATAACTTCCTCTGAAAAAGGACCATATTTGTTACCATCACTAGGTTGACAAACACACTTTAGGCGAAACATTATATCATTATTGACAGGGGTGTAGCAATAATTTTCACCGATAAGCTCCCAATCTTTATCAATACTTGAAGATTTAAACCACAAAAATTTAGATTCTTTAAGGTAAGCAAAAAATAATTCTAATTGAGGATAAACAGGAAAACCTGCCATAATGTATTCAGGCAGCTGTAATTTTACAATAGTTGGTGGGTTTAGTTGAACAATATACCTTTGAGAAACTATTTGCATACAAAAGCCTTCTTGAAAACTTTCTTTGTTTGTTATCTTATCATTTACTACATTCGCGTCTTTATCAAAAACTAAAACTTTGACTTTGTCGGTAGAATAACTTAAAACAGCATTTTCATTTTTGTTGTTCTTGGTTTTTTTTTGAGGATCAAGTTTTAAAGAAATACGCTGCAATGTTTTTCCTAAATCTCCCATAAGTGGTCTAACAAACTTTGTCTTGACTCCTCGATGAATAAACTCTATTACTATATCGTCTGTATTAGTTATGACACTTGCATAATGATCCATTGGATTTTGTTAGCAGTTTTGAAAAACTTATTTTTGATGAAATAAAAATAACTACAAAATAGTTTTATTTTACCGAATTATTCAAACAGATTTCCCATTAATTCAAAAGTTGTTTGTCAGAAAATTATTTAGCGCCATAATTTTTGAGCGTCGCAATAGTAATAAAAACACCGCGCAGTTCAGGATTCAAATTTAAAAATAAATATTGTTTGTTTTCAAACTTACCTTATATTTATAATTAATTTATAAGGACTTAATACCTGTGGACCCTGAGGAAAAAATAAGTTAGATGCATAAATGCGTTGTCAAAATATTAATCTGTTTGTTGATGAATGAATGGTTTCACGGACACTGCATCCTGTGGCGGATTGAGGTTTAGTGTCGCAGGGGGGGGGGGGGGGAAAGGGCCAAGTCAATGAATAGGGGCGACCGGGGTTGTCTTCAGTAACTTGATCATACAATTTGTTTTTTCATTATTTTAGGGGGCGCCGTTAGACCGTTCTAGGGGAGCGTGGAGGGCAACTCGCCCCCCCCCCCCACGCCTTTTACTAAATCCGCCACTGCTGTCATCTAGCGCGGTGCTCCTTAAAAATGCTCCACTTAAAAATGTGTAGTTCAAGCTTGGAACAGAAGAATGAGAGATCATAGTGCATACAATCAATTTTTTTTTTATTCAACTAAATAATGTATATAAAAAAATACATATGCTTAAAAACACAAAGACCGGATAATTTGTCTGATATAATACAATTTTAATTTTCCATCTTTCAATTAATTTTTGAATTTGACTCTTTCTCCAGGGCCGACGACACCTGAGGCTAGGGAGGCACGTGCCCCCACTTTTTTCCAAAAGACCTTCTTTTTTTAAGAAGTTCTGATGTAGAGAACTTTTTTTAGAAATTGACGATTGTGCCCCCCACCCCAATTTAAAAACCCGTGTCGTCGGCCCTGTTTCAAAATGTTGATTTTTTTATCTAAACTACGTAATCTCTTTTTCAAAAACCTTCTGCAAAATTGAGGTTCAAAAAACACATTTTATGGTTAATTTTAGCTTACTGCTAAAAGAAGTTTAAAATATATAAAAATAAAATTGTCAACTTCAAAAGTAAAATATCTATAGATATATCAATATATCTAGAATTTTTTTATGTTGATCATGATCTATGTTTTATGCTAATATCTAATAAAAGAGGAACCATCCAGTATATTATTGCTATCAGGTAACAGTAAAAGATCTAAAAAAACAAGCATCTCGAATCATCTCGAGTAGGAGATAATAGCTTAATTGATTTATTCCCAAAATATTTTTTTGATTGTATTTGTTTGGGTGTACCAAAAATATTTTTTCGATTGTATTTGTTAGATTGTGCCCAAGGAATTCTTGTGTCAATGCATATAAAAGCTGAAGCATTGAACTTGCCAAGGAAAAGATTCAAGAGAAAAAACGAATAGCTTTTCACTTTTCAGGTTATACAGATATTATTACCATTCCTCAGAAAATATGAAAATAGAGCTTCTAAACGGAGATTGAAGAAAGAGAGAGCGGAAATGGTAGCTAAACTTCCGAAAATGACAATTTTTTTTTTATTAAACCAAACCAATATGCAATTTCTTCAAACTATAGAAAATAATAAAAATGATGAAAAAAAAGATTAAAACAATAACACAGTATCGTGTAAACGAGGTATTGTTTTTACAATTGGAAAAAAGCTGAACAAACTTTTTTCCAATTGTAAAAACTTTTACAATTAGTAAAAGTTTGTTTTTCACAAATTAAAAGCCACAAAGGTAAATTATTGATTACTGACATTTTAGATCTACTGGAAAAATATGAATTTATATCCCCTGCCTATGACATTCTTTAAACTTGTTAGGGCAGTGCAGTGTTAGTGAGTGCACCAACTCTATTAACTATTTTGGCGTGTTGCAGAGTTTGTATTCATTTTTTGTAGCTTCAACACACAGATAGGATTTATTGAAAGGAAAGCATGCTACACTTAAGCGCCTATCTAAATCTGACCTACATGACCGTCGTGTATCTGAATACACAACGGTCATGTAGGTTAGATGCTTCAAAAAGTTAAGTAGAAAATTTTGATGGGAATCATGCATCGTTATGTCTTATAGCTGAGGATACAGAAGAAAAGTATAATACTCGTTATGAAGTTGTGTGTTTATCAAATAAGATCACTAAGCTAGAGTTTGCATTCTGTACTTTGTCATCGCATACTTATGAGGTTTAATAAAGTTAGCGAATTTCTTCAAAAGTAAAAATCACATTGATTTCTATGCATGTTTTAAATTGGATTGTTGAAATCGATGTTATTGATGTAATTTCGAATGATTATATAGCATATCGTCTGTTTCTAACTAATCCCATAACAATTTGCAAGGCTGAGAGACCATTTTCTGCTTTTAAAAGAGTAAAGAACATGAACCAATCAACAATGCCCCATAGTGGTTTAAGTAATATAGCAAGATTAACTATTGAATCAATATTGTTAGAAACTGTGGATTTCAGCGATGCGATGGCTAAGTGTGCATAAAAGAAAAGCAAAACTAAATCACTTAACTTCAATAAAAAAAATATAAAATCTTACACATACATGTTTTTGTTTTGTAATACAATACTTTAATAAATTAACTATCATGCATTAAATAAGTACCTTCAAGATTCCCAGTATTAATAGCTTCGTGCTAAAAAACATTTGTTATTTAGACTAAAACAACATGCTTATTATAAACTTATTTTTTAACAAAGTCTAAAGTTTTGTTTGTAAAAGTAACAACATGTAATATGACTAATCCTAGAAGATTACTTTGTTTCTTCTCAAGTATCCAATTAACTAGTAGCCCGCGAACCAGCTCCCCAACATTGAAAATGAAATCAGGTTTATATAGTTTACAAAACAATCCAGGTCTTTTAAAATTAAATCTACTAAGCTTGATTCAACTTGTTCTCAAAGGTTTCCAGGCAATGAACTTATTTGCAAAGGTAGATCATGTAAAAATAATTATAGATGTGCTTCTGATTTTGTAATGGGTGTGTAAAATATGGCTGGTTATGGAAAACTTCTTGTTTATAAAGCTGCTGTTAGGTAACAAATATTATAATTTTTAATTGTAAATAAACAAGTAATAAATCAAAAAACAAACAAATATTAAATTACCAACATAAAAAAATAAAACAAAATCAATGTCTAGGTAGTTAAAAAATACGAGGAGATCATCAAATTTGATTGGAATGAGATACAGGTCAAATCAACATTGTACAACATTGCAAGTGTAAAATGATTTAAAAAGTTAAAAAATTTTCCAAACTGAAATTTGTTAAGTATAAAAATAAAACTATAAAAATCTCTGCAAACTAGTATTTATCTCTGTAAACTAACTTATAACTTAGTATTTTATCTCTGTAAACTAACTTCTATTTTGGTGTATCAGGATTTCATTTTCATTAACCTTCCATTATACAGAAGTTAGGTCTGAATCTGAATGTTTGCAATCTGAAGTCAGATATAGTTTATGTATATTATCAATAATTTTTGTTTTAAGCAAAAAATACATTTTTAAGTTTTTCTAACATACCACATTAGTTTTTGAAAGTCATTAAAGTTAAAAAAAAAGTTCAAGAAAAAAATTTTGTATCAGGGTTTAGGCATATATTTGGAGGTGTTTTTACAATATTATTCTATTATAGAATAATATTGCACTTAAGGTTTTCATTGCATTTAAGGTTTTCATTGCATTTAAGAAAATTGTATGTTTTTATAGTTTATGTTGTAAACTATAAAAAAACATACTTTTTCTATTCCTTTATACGATAAAACCCTAAAATGAAATAAAGAGTAAGAAACTATTATTTATATAGACTAGGAAAAAAAAATGTCAACCACTGGGTGGTTTAACTTTTACCTCATTATTAAATGTCAAGAAAAGAGATACTACATTGAAATGTATGAGTGAAAGAATTTAAGGTTCAGTCAAATTAAGAGGGGCGGATGCAGCTCTTTTTAATGTTTGACGTTTGGGGTAGGTGTCGCAAAAATATTAGAGCATTTTTTGTTTCTAGGCTCCAATTATCGCAATTTTTTCCAAATCATCTTTATTTGAAATAAGTGTAAACATATAAGTTTTTTTAATTTTGCATCATATGTCGGGAAGTCAGATGTTTCAAACATAAAAAAGTTACCAACAGCTTGTAAGTTTTCATTTTTTTCAGATATTATTTATTTTATAATATCTGGGTTCATAAGACGTTAAACTTTTATTAGTGTCAGTATTATTTTATTTAAAATTTTCTTTTTTTTTTTTTTATTTAAAATTTTATTTTTTTATATTTTTTCTAAAATAGCAGTAATTCATAAAAACGTATATAAAAAAAAAAATTTTCTCGATAAACTGTTGCAGAAGTAGTATTAGACTTAAAATTGTTAGATATCATATCTCCAATCACAGAATCTCCATGCTATCATACTTATTAAAACCATAATCCATATAAGAATTTATTCATTCTTATAAAAATTATGTATTAGGGACTGTATCCTTTTCTACAAAAGAAAATATTAAAAATAAATATTAAAAACAATTAATAACAATATGATAAATAAATTGATGATAATAAATTTACGTTAGATCTATTATTGATCTTAATAAAGAAATTGATACTGATGATAATGTATATATTTTTTAATTAAATTATTTCAAGATAATAATTATATATTTAAGAACTATATGGTTTCAAAAATATGTCAAGTAGAAAGTAATACATTCTTTTTAGTTGTGGAGAAACTAATAATATAAATATGAGTTTTAAGATACCCCATGGATCAATTTTATAAACATTCTTATTTCTAATTTATAACAATGAATAAAACAATTTTTGTAATTTATTACACAACAATCTTTTTGCTGATGATACGAGTTTTTTCATCCTCATCGTAAAAAAAAAATCTTGTTTTATTTAGTTTTATTATGTTTACGTTTTCTTGATTTTTATTTTGTTTTATTTAATTATTTTTGAGTATATATATATATATATATATATATATATATATATATATATATATATATATATAAATATAAAGACACACATACACACACACACACACACACACACACATACACACACACACACACACACACACACACACGCACACACAAAATCATAATCATATTTAAATCAATCATGATTGCCTGCCCTCACTAGCAATTCTGCAATAAAATGAAGGGAGGGGGGTGAATTGTTAAAAAGTGGTCCCTTTAAAAGAAAAATAAGTCCTCAAAACAAAAATTTATTCAACTGAATTGTGTCAAATACTCTACTAGCCAACTAAATTCGTAAAAAAACTGACTATAACTTGAAAATCACTTTTTATGGGGGGTGGAACACCCCACACACACCCCGTAAAATCGTCTCTGACCAAGATATACCTTTTTTCCAACAGAATAAAACTAGCTGTATCCTTATTTATTATTGTATTATTATGACATAAGTAACTTAAGTAACACGTAGTATAACATAAGTAACTTAAGTAACACGGATCGGTTTGAAGACTATTGTAGTTCAACATTTCTTTTTTTAACAGATCTTTAGCTATAAACTTGTATTATTATTATTATTGTCATAATATATATTAAAAATTTGGTCATTTTATTATGCATTTATATTTTTCATTGTGGGGCTGTCTATAGAGGACGCCACCTTTTTTTAGATAATTTTTGATCCCTCCCCCTCTTTCTTTGTCACCAGTTGTCCTTTTTTCCTATACCCTATATAAAAAGGATGTCATAAAATTGGGAACTTCTCTCCTCTTTATTTAAATACAAAATTTGTTCTAAATTTAGACATTTGGTTAAATTTTTTCAAATGAATTACATTTTTCTGTGCTTAAGTATCATTCAGTAGCTTATTGTGCATTTTTACATTTGTTTCAGTTGTTTGTTCTTGTAAGCCTCCCTGAAAAATAAAAATATGATATGTTACTCTTTTTATATATATATAATTTAATCAAAGTCATTGGAACTTACCTCACTCTTTGTCCATCCAAGGTTTTTTTAAATAATCGTCAATTGATATGATTTGAATCGGGCAGTCCAATTTGTCTGAAATAGTCGCATCATTTGGATTATTAAAGCCCTCTGCTTCGTTTTTGTCCTCATTAAATTATTCAGCAAAGGTCGCGTCCTCTTCCACCGCGATTACGGCCGTTAACTCCCTTTTTTACTAAACGGCAATGTGAACAAGTCTAACTCGCAAAAGGGTAATAGCCATTTAGTTAACAAAATTGAAATAAGTAATAATGCTGACATGCTTTTTTAAAATAACTTAAAAGCCAATACATTTTACAGGCAAGACTTACAATGCTTACAGATTCTCTAAGATAAAATTGATTGCACAGAAAGACAAAACAAATTGTAAGGAGGAAGTTTAAATGATTTCAATGATTAAGGAATGCTGCTCTGAATAGTTGAGGCGATAAGAAAAAGTACAGAAAGAAAACGGTTCTTGCTGGTTACGTCTGAAACGGTTACAGCTTTCAAGCTATCTTCTGACTGACAGGTAGGAATAGGTGGAGGCAAAAATCGACCAAGAACAACATAGAAATATGAACTCCTTTTCAAAGAACAACATCCAAGATCCTCTCATTTCACAATTTGCGTGAAATATTGGCTAGCGTGCACATGAGAGGCTAATCATTTCTAATCCTTCGATAAGAGATGACGAGCATCGAGCTCTGTCTTACCGTCTGGATCGTTATACTCAACTACCGATGGAAACTGATCAGTTATCAGACCTGAAAAGACTGAGACAAAGATCTTTCCAGCGAATTCAAAATTCTGTTTCTCCTAAAAAAGATCCAATGCAGATAAGTCGCAATGCAGATAAATAATTTGTTACGTCTTGCTATATTTATTGTATTTTAATAAAGACTTGATATTAAAAATGAATTTAAATTCCTTCAGAGTCTAGATGAGTTTCATAATAATCATTAGGGAGAACCAATCCGGCTAAATTAATACTGAAGACAATCACTGGCTTGACTAACTTGGTCAAATTTTGTAATAGAATCAAACTCTGGCAGAGTAAAAAGTTGTTCATAGTCCATTCTGTGAGCATACACTGTTAATGATGAATGCTTTGTCAGATCAAACAGCAGTATACTTGGGAACGAAAATAGGAAACTGCGTCAGATTTTCCAAGCCCATACGGTTTGATTTCATTACTTGCGTAGAGAGTTAAATGAGCTTGTGCATTGCGGCGATAACCCAATCATGATCAGAAAGAGAAACTCAATATTCCATATGCATTAATATAGAAGTTTTTTTGATAGCAGCGGTGATTCCAATTAGGATCCGAGCTTAATTGTCTTGAGTTATAAAGCACGTATTATAGGGGCCTAAACAAAACCAAACCCCTTCCACATTCCTTATAGTTGCTGTACAAAAAGGATCATCCATGTGACATGAATGAAGGTCGTTTTGGACTCGCATCAACTTAATTGGAACCATATGGACGTCTCTTTCCTTCAGATAATTTTCTCCGTTTTGGCATCAGCCGAGGATATAAAGCACTTCTGCTAAGATGGTAGCCTTTTTTTTTGAGCTCAGCACCAAGCTCATCCAACAATTTATATATATATATATATATATATATATATATATATATATATATATATATATATATATATATATATATATATATATATATATATATATATATATATATATATTAAAGTAAAATTTAAACAAATATTAACAAAAATTTAAACAAATTTTTTTTCTTTAATTACGATAAATAAAAACATTACGTTCCGTTCCGTTAACTTCATAAAAATACATGTTTACAAAGTTTTCCATGTTAGTAAACCTACCCTTGTTCTTTTTTGTCCTTTTCAATTTGACCCCTCCCCCTCTGCCAACCTCCATATTAGCATAATGTCCTTTATGGATGTCTCCTGATATCTCTCTTGTTGTAATTTCGTTTTTATTTTAAAATATTATTTGCTGAAGCATATTACTAAAGTTTTTTGGGATTTGCAATTTTATATATTTTTCAAGTAAATTATATTTATATGTGTTTAAGAAACAACATAAGTAAAACAAGTGCGTGGGGGAAGAATTGAAAACTTCAAATGACTATAAGTTTCAAACATTTTCAACTTTACAAACACTTTCAAACACTTTCAAACTCTTTGAAACACTTTTAAACACTTTCAAACACTTTCAAACTCTTTCAAACACTTTGAAACACTTTCAAACTCTTTCAAACACTTTCAAACACTTTTATACATTTTCAAATTCTTTAAAACTTTTTCAAACATTTTCAAAAAATTTTAAAAATTTTCAAACATTTTCAAACATTTTCAAATATTTTCAAACATTTTCAAACAAATTTAAACACTTCCAAACATTTTCAAACATTTTAAAAAACTTTCTACTCGCTGAATAAATGCTTATTGATTAATAATAACATTGTTGATTCTTGATTAATAATAACAACTAATAATATTGACAAATAAAAAAGAATTAGTAAAGTAAAAAAGCAAAATTACCAGGTGTTTTTTTATTTATTTTTTTACTATTTTGGTACATATTTAATGAAATATTGTTTTAATTTATTAATATATTAATTAAGCCACCGTGGTGCAATGATGAGAGATACTCTGTGATAAGACCGTAACGACTTCTTGGAGAAATTTAATAATCACAAAAAACAAACAATACTTTTAAGTGTTTTAACGTAAAGTTAAAATATAATACATGCAAAACCGAGATAAACCAACGTAAACCGAGTTTACTGACAGTATTTCAGTTTTTTTAAACTTGTTGCTGGTTTTCTTACTAAATTTTTAAAGTAAACATCACTTTTTAATATCGACCGTTACGCTATTGTCCATTCTTGCGATTGGTTTACAGGTCCATATCATTATGATTAGTTCTTAGATAGCAAGTTAAGTAAAAGTATTAAATTTAGTTCAATTTACATTGGCTACCAGTCTTCAGCGTTATTGTATTTATTATAATTTATAACAATTGATTTGTAACTTTATAGCTATATTGAGTCACAGTAGCCTCTATCCAATGTTGCTGATTGTCACAAAGAAAATCTAAAAAAGAAGAAAAAATCATAAAAGCGCTCAGATTCAACTTTTGTGAGGACCTTGTGTGAGCAATCTTTCATAGTTTCATAGAACATAGAGAGGGTACCATAGAAGAAAGAAAAATAAATTGGGATAATATTTATAAGTTTTCGCCTCCGTCATTATTGTTTACTTGAAAGAAAACAAAAGTATTATATATAATAATTTTTTATACCGTTATTTGAAAGTTTTTTTCGAATTATGTTATTAATTTTATACGCTAGTTTTAACAATAAATTCAAAATTATTACAATACTTAAATTATTAAAAATTATAATTAAAAGCTTCTAATTGAATGTTTTCTTCTTAACGGATTTTTGGTTTGGTTCTCCATACGGCGCTTGAGTTTCGGAGCAAGCGTTGTTGTGCAAAAAGTATAAATTCGTCGTAAAATCTTTTTGGTTGGTGTCTCTTGTGATGAGATTCATTTGATAAGAAATCAGTTAACCATTCCATGTCGTACTTTCTAAGCCACATAGAACGTGGTTTGCATGCCGGATGGGAATCATACTTTGACAGCAAACTTCTTCTTCTCATTTTAAAAAATCGAAACTAAAAAGTGCAACTTATTAAAATTAAAATCATAAAAATCGAAACTAAAAGTGCAATTTAGTAAGTGCATACTTTACTCACTACATTCTTTTTTGATCACTTACTAAAGTTTTTACGTAACTAAAGCTAAAGTTTTAGTAAAGTAAAAGAAGTAGCAAGTGATCAAAAAAAATTTGTTCAATTAAAAAATGACTTTTGTTAACGTTTATTTGTGATGTAATATTCATCCATAAACACTCATTGCCATCGTCGTTTTGTTCTTGTTTTTTTTTATTTCGTTATTTTAGTTTTTAATTGATTGATCCTTTTTTTATTTCGTGTATTAGTTCAAAACTCATGTTCTTACCTTTAGAGCGAGCACTGAAATAAATAAATTAAAAAAAAAGTTTGTTTCTTTATAAAATACCATCTAAATGAACGCTTAAAAATTAATAATTTATAAGAATTTCTTTGGTCAAACTATAACATCATAAAGTCACATGATTAAAAATATTTTCGTTGCTTTAAACCAAACAATTGTTTATGGCATTTCTTGTATGGAACAAAAAAATCGAAACAAAGACATCGATGAGTAATCTCTACATACAAGGATTCATTCACGAAAATTTTGAATAGCTCTGCTAAAATGTGTCCCATCTTTATGATAGTATGAATATTTTATAAAATTGCATCTATCTTTATCTATTTATATGGTTCTAGGCTTTTTATTTTTTATAATAAATCAACAATAAGTTTTTCTTTGAATCAGCTTAATTTTAGTTAACATTTTTTGTTTGATATAATTTACGTATACGGATAAATTAGTATATTTGTTGTTACAGAGACATCATAGTTCAATGCCAGCTTTAGCTGAATAAGCGACATTGCTAAGGAAGGAAGTTGAACTTTTTAATTAAATGCTCTATCGCGGTGCTTTGTGATAAGATTGTAAGGTCTTCTTGGAGCACCTTGATAAATAAATAAAAATTATTTTATTATTATTATTATTATTATACAACAATAAAAAAAAAATGATAACAATAATGAAATTTCCATATTTAAATCACTGATATATTAAAAAATATTAATTTTTAAAATAAGTACTCGTTCTTAAGAAAATTATTTTTTTATTTTTGAATGCGAAGGCCAGCGTTAAGCTCGTTAGTTATTTATTTAATTCTATCACGCGCTTCAGTCTCACAACATGTTTTTCAAATAAATATATTATTTACATGATGCTATTTTTTTAAAATATTAATCGACGCTGTGATTAACAAACAAAAAATACAGTAAAAAAAAGAATACAAAGAATTTAAGTCTGACGTTCATTTAGTTAAATTGTTACTAAGTTATTAATGAGCACAACTTGAAATATTAATAAATTATGTTTAGTGACAACAAAAAAAGCTTGTCTTGAGTAATTTTTATTATTTGATTATTTTCATTTTTACGCTGAAATATGTAAAACCGTTCAGTTATGATTGAAAATAGTTTGTATGAAAACTTTTAAAATCCTTCATTTAAACTTTATTTCGTTTAAGTATGAGCATTTAAATAGCTACAAAGTATTAATGTTAACCCGGGATATTTTATAATTATAAAGTATTAATGCTAACCCGGGATATTTTATAAAAACTACTTAAAAGCCAGATTTTACTTGTAACATTCCGTGTTGTTCCGATAGCCGAATCATTTTTAGTAAATTAAGGTTTCGTCATATTTAAGCATCGGTCGGTTTCCAATGAGATCATTAGTTGCTTGAAAAATATTTCTTTTTTTGCTTAAGCAAAAATGTTTTAATCAAACATGAAGTGTGAATATCAAAAGAAAATTGATAAATAACTTACTTACCTGATGTAATGACTGGCATTTGAAAATGTTGATGCATCAAAGCATTTCATCAATATATTTGAATATATTGCATATTTGAATATATTGATGAAATGCTTTGATGCATCAACATTTTCAAATGCCAGTCATTACATCAGGGTCTTTTCAATTACTATAATTTACCGATTATTAGAACTTTGACAGAAATCACATCAAAAATTGGGTCACAAGATAGGATGATATTTTCGAAAAGAATTTTGAGGAGTTTTATGCTCAAGATACATATATACGAGTATGATAATATAATATGCTCGGTCATAGATATAAAAATACTCGGTTATGGATATAATAACTCCTTTTCTAAATAAACTTTAAAGCAGCCTGGTTTTTATTGCAAAACCTTTCTAAGTTCCTGACTGATCTAGACTTAGGACAAGAAATCACTCAGGGACTTAAACCTTGATCCTAAACTTGTACTTTTGTTTACGCCTATCTTTATGTTTCAGCTAATGTGTTTACATTTAAATACCCCTATCCCTATGTGTTAGTTAATGTATGTGTATTTAAATGCCTCTATCCCTGTAGCTATTGATATATTTTAATGGTATCTTTAGCTACAAAGCTTTGATATTCAGTCATTAATTAGCTATAGATTTGTAGTTATGTTGTAATGACAACTAGCTAGCTACATTGCTACGATATGTAGCTAGATTGCTATGATATGTAGCCAGCGATATATATAAGTAATACAGCTACAAAGCTGTTATATTTAGCTAGCTGCATGTTGTATTAAAATCGCGATGTTATAAATTCAAATGTTTTCATAAATAGATTAGATCCAATACTAAAAATCAAACCTTAGTTACATAAAAAATAAAATGAAATGATATTGTGAGATAATAAAAATTGCTCAAAAATCAATGTATTGCTAGCAAGTTGCTAGCTATTCGCTACCTCATTTTCCACCGGGTATCAATTTTATAAAACGTTTTTGCAAACATAAATACAAAAACATATATACATATGTTTTTGTATTTATGTTTGTGAATAAAATTATGAAGAAATGCAAAAAGTACAATACTTTGGTAGTTAACTATTTTAACGGATATGTTTCTATGCATATGGATTTGTATAAGAATAAGTATACATATAAACAAGTCATTAGATTTGTTTATATATGCTTTTTACACACGTAACCCACGTGAAACTTTCCTGTAAGAACATAGCTTACAAGAACATAGCATAGGCAATTGCTTTTTTAGTGAGGTTTTTAGTGGTATAAGAATGATAGCCTCACATGGACGGCACCAACGCCACCACATAAAAAAGAGTTGTAAGCAAATGGTTTGAATATGCTTCCCACGTGTGCCCCACATGAAATTTAAGCGTCTGAATATAGTGTAGCGTTCGTTTTTATTTAGTGTGGTTTAATGCTTTTTACTTACCCCTTCTAGACTAGGTGACACATTAGTTAGGTTTTAAAGAGAACAAGAAGACTTATATAAAAACGGGTACCTTTAATCAATAATCCAATAAATTGTTAAAATATCATCACTTAAGTGATGTCAGATAAAAAAATTTATATGCATCTATCCAAAAAATATCAAAACGCTTTTTTTTTACTTTTTTGGTCGAAAATAGAAAAAGTGCCCGTGTATCTTACTCAACTGCTTTCCAATAATATTTTGTAGCGCATTGTGTTAACATTCTAATTCCATAACTTTCATTTGTTAGATGTTTTGTCATGTGATGCGTAGTTTTTGAGATATTTTAATTGCCCAACTTGCCCCTTTGCTCAACTAGCCCCGCTCTACCCTATGGATTGCGCCGATGCTATTTCATAAAAGAGAATGACACCTATATGATCAATTATCAATTGCCATATATGTCCAATATTAAAGTTTCTTGTCTAGTAAGTTCATAGCTATCATTACCCAGCTAGCACACATACGTTGATAAAACGTTAGAACAATGTTGTGCATTACGTTGGCCCAACATCGACCTCCAACGTTGTTTTTATATCTTTTTGGTTACAAATGCGACGTCGCCAACAACAAAAAAACAACGTTCGTTCAACATTGTATTTTACGTTGGCAAAACGTTATATTTTACGTTTGCACAACTTTATATTCACCTTTTTATTGGAATTGAATTAATTTGTTTTATGTTAAGCATATACATATAAACATAAAATGTTATACATTATACGCAAATATAGTTATGTATTAATACATACATATTTTCGCCATTTTGATGATGAGTTATGGTATTGTGGTTTATCCTCTCTCCGGCTAATTGCTATATAGAGGCCACATTACCAAGGCACGCAAAGACATGTTCGGCTCCCCAAAGAGCGTCATAACCCACTCTACGGTCCAAGAATAAGATGAGTTTCGAAGATGTATTAGAATGAAAGACAAAAGTAGTCGAGTTAGAAAGTTGGCATAGAGAGAGCGGACAGAAATTGCACACGATGTTAGAAGGTGCAAACGGAGTGAGCATGAATTATGGTATTGTGGTTTATCCCCCTCTGGCTAATTGCTATATAGAGGCCACATTACCAAGGCCCGCAAAGACAAAAAAAAAAAAAAAAAAAGTTCGCCTATTACATTTGTTTATGTTGCATCTGGTTAAAGAAGCATTATTTATTTTTGCTTTGCTTGTGGCTTGATATTTGATTACGTAAAAAAGAAAAAAATATATTTCCATAATCAACTGAAATATTTAAATGAAAAATAATTCTACAAATGTATATTTGTATCTCTGCCTTTTCTCGATGCAAACTCAAGTTGATTCACTGTATAAAATCCTACGTTGTTCCAATGTATGCATATTTAAATTAACATTGGTTTATACGCATTGAATCAATGTTGGGTTTAAATCGTAAAAAAGTCAAACTTTTGCGATACTTTTACATACATTGGATCAACGTTGATTTATATATATTGAATCAACGTTGGTTTATATACAATGAATCAACTTTGGGTTTAGATCGTAAAAGCATTCAACTTTTTGCGATGTTTTTACATACATTAATTCAACGTTGGTTTATACACATTAAATCAGCGTCAGGTTAATAACATTAAAACAACATTGGGTTTACATCGTAAAAACAATCAACTTTTTGCAATGATTTTACATACGTAGGACCAATGTAAATGTGCCAGGTGTATTTAGTTCCGTAGGTATCAATCATTAAACAAATGACATTGGATCAACGTTGGTTTTGCATTGGAAAAAACAGCCGACGTTTGCGATGGTTTTACATACGTTGGTCCAACGTAAGTGTGCTAGCTGGGTGTATTAATACGCAACTTTAATTAATAAAATGTAAATACATAAAAAATAAAAGTGATTACCTGAATGTAAGAGGTCTTGTTGTTTCTTATGACGATACTGTTCAATGCTTTATTTTTTAACATGGTTTTCTGTTAAGCAGTTATCAAAAAAACTTTGTCAAACATTTTTAACAAAGGAATTCCTATATGTGTTGCAAAAGCTTCAACTGATGATTGGCATTAACGCACATTAGCAAAACCCTCACTTCATTAGCAAATACAATTTCAAAAAAATTAGCAATAATAAATTTTTCGAAACATGCTAATAGTTTTAAAATTGTTATAACAATCAGTCTTCATTTATATTTTAATGTGTTATATACAGGCGCGGACTGTGGCTGCAAATTCTACCGCTAAGAAAATTAGGAGGGCGCTAAAAGGGCGAGAAAGAGTTTAAAAAAATGATTTGGGTGGGGGTATTTAAGTTACAACATTCATTCATATGAAGATTTTGTACTTAAAGTTACAACATTCATTCATATGAAAATTTCGTTCATTTGGAATATAAATAGGTAAAATTAAGATGCACTTCAAAAATTCAACGTTTATTCAGACTTGCAATATAATTCAGTCTCCCATGTTACTTAAGTATGAAATAATTGATATACATAATAATTATGTAGACAATGGTAATGATAATGGTAATATAAAAACAATAAAATAATGTTAAATAACTTTAGTACTCCAATATTTAAATGGATCATTGTACCAACATATATAAATATAAAAATGATTAAACAAATTTGATGAATTAAAACTCATATTAACACTTTTTACTATATTTCTTGTGAGAAAATATTTCTTCATTTATATCGTTGTAATTTATTTTGGATGTTATACGTGCTTCTATACTCGTGCTATACTGTAACAGATAAAAGTGCTCATGTTAAAGAAAAAAGGTGTAGACGAGTAATACGATATGAACACCTAATAAGTGTTGCCGTAAAAAAGAGTTGATGCAAAAAAAGGTTTTCATGATACATTAACACCTAATAGGTGTTGCAGTTGAAAAGGTGTTCATGCAAATAAAGTTGCTCATGTTAGATTCGTTTGTGACGCAAATATTTAAATATTCAACAGTAAACATGATCTTCATAACCTTTCTGTTTACTCATGATTAGCATGTTTTTAATAAGATTTTTAAAAAACCCAAAGTATTTTTAAAGTACTGCTCCAAAAGCACAAATATACATTTTTAAAAACAATTTCAATATAAATTTTATATTTTATACACATTAAGACTATAAATATACAAGTAAATGCTTTTAGAAATATCATTAGCTAAAAAACACTTTAACTATTTGAAATCCATCTGATTCCATTAGAATTAGAATTTAAAATCTTTGTATTTTTGTAAAAAGTCCAGAAAAAACATACATAAATGATGTTTGCACTATTTCTAAACGCCGTATATGTAACGCCATTCATAAATAACGTATGTGCAAAAACCTTTGATTAATGTGCCATGATAATGGTGATTGTAAAACGGAGCTAAGTTATCTAAGTCTTAATAAAGTTTAGTTTTTAGAAAAGTAAAAAATAAATACTCATAAAGTTGAAAGGTTTAAATTATTTAAAATATTTGGATAAAATAATTGTTTACATAAAATGACTATATTAAAAGTAGAAAAAAAAATTAAAAAAAAAAATCAAAAGAAAAATGATTCTAGTGTGGAGCCTACCATATTTCAAATTAAGATTATTTTTATTAACAAGAAAGAGCTTACATCGACTTTTTATCGACGCGTTTAAACTTAGCGGTTCTCATGACAAGACCTCTAAGCAATGATAAGTTATATTTACAAGATGACTAACTTCGATCCGAAAAGTGAAGCCACTTTTTTTCTATCAAGAAATGGGTTCCCCAGCATTAGCTATAATAATTTGTCCATTTTACAAATGGCGGATTAAATTTGTAAATAAAAAAAGTGGCTTCACTTTTTGTCTAATAAAACCCTGCTAGTTAGACATCTAATGTGTGTATATATATATATATATATATATATATATATATATATATATATATATATATATATTATATATATATATATATATATATATATATATATATATATATATATATATATATATTTGTATATATATATATATATATATATATATATATATATATATATATATATATATATATATATATATATATATATATATATATATATATATATATATATATATATTTGTATATATATATATATATATATATATATATATATATATATATATATATATATATATATATATATATATATATATATATATATATATATATATATATATATATATATATATGTGTATATACAGGGCCGGCGCGAGTAGGTGCCACGTGGGGGGGGGGTGCCATCACAACTTTTGCCAACTAAAAAAAAAAAAAAAAAAGTCCTCGTTTTCCAAAATTTGCCGACTGTCATGACGACATTTGCCGCCTGTCTAACCTATATCGAAAGGATCGACATTTGCCGACTAACTAGTCTAAAAGGGTCCGAATTGCCGACTAAGGGTCCAGTTTGCCGACTAAAAATCATTGATGGGGGGGGGGGGGAGGGGTGACACCCCCCACACCCCCCTATCGCGCCGGCCTTATATATATATATATATATATATATATATATATATATATATATATATATATATATATATATATATATATATATATATATATATATTCTTTGAGTTTCCGTAAACATTGTTTTTATTTAGTTTCGATCGTTATTCTAAGATAATCTTAAATTGTAAAACATTTTTTTACTTTCTATATATTTGTATAAAAATTTTAATGTAATAAAAATCAGAAAAAAAAAGATATAAAAAGGTATAAACTATGTAATACAAGATATATAAATATGGCTCTGACAGCAATTTAATTTTGGTAATCAAGCCATAAATTTTAAGTATCAATGAATTAAAACCGTATAATCATCGTTCACAAGTATATACATGTTTCACAACGTCCGAAATAATTTTCACGTGTGGAAATTAAATGATAGAGCGACTTATTTAGGAAGAAATAACACAAACTATGGTTACTTTTAATCCCTACGATTTACCAACAGAAGGTGTGGTGTTAACAGAGTCAAATACTCGAGCTTTTTTGGAAGATAAAGATTGTGGTAATGGTACTTTATGCATATGCGAAGAGTATGTTACAACTTTTTTAAATTTTTCTTTTCCTTTCTATTATTAATATTATAATAACAATAAGACATTTGATGTCTAATTGTTATACATCATTGGAATGTTTTAAAATAACTTTTTTTTGTGATAACAATTATACAAAACTAAATTTTAGTTTTTAAATATTTTATAAGATTTACAATATTTAACTATCAGCTGCAGACAGCTCAATAGAAGTTGTCACTGAGAAACTAAGCAAAGCATTTGAAGATACAAATAAGTTCTGTGTTGATTATGGTTTCACCATCAACTCCAGTAAAACGCAACTTATAGTTTTCAAATCACCGAGAAAAAAACTTCCTGATAACTTACACATTAAAATTGGAAATATTTTAATAGAGAGGTTCAACCAGTAACTCATGTGAAGCTATTAGGGGTCACTATAGATCAATCTCCAATTCAAAGAACAAATAGATTCAACCGTTAAAAAATGTCACTCTAGTATGGGAATATTGGCAAAAGCATCTGTCAGGCTTCCAAGGGAACTTTTGAAAATTGCGTATACAGGACTTATACGAAGTCAACTAGAGTATGCCAGCATATTGTACCTTGGTCAATCCAAAGCACAACTAAAGAGACTTGACGTTATACAAAAGCAGTGTGTGCGAATTGTATGTCACAAACCTAGGAACACTCATTCAGCTCCCCTTTTGGAAGAACTAAAGCTTGACACCTTGGGGGAGCGAAGAAAGGTTCATGCAACAAAAATAGTAATGTCGGCATTGTCGGGAGTGTGCCATCCATCTTTGGCTAATATGTTTAAAATGAACGATGACTCAAACCTTATTGTCAAAAAAGCGGCGAATCGACAAGGAAGTAAAGGCTTTCATATTATGGGGGCCAACATATTCAACAAAGTTGGCTTCTAATATATCCATCTTGCTATGCCATTGGCATATGCTACTCAAGCAGTGGAAGAGGAACCGGAAACAAAAGTACAAAAAAAAAAAAAAAAAAAAAAAAAAAAAAACTTTTTCTGAATTTATTTTATAAATTGTAAAAGTAATCGTAATTTTAAAGGCAAAGTTGTTCAACTGTAATTGAGTTTAAATAAAAGTATATAATAATATAATAATAATAATAATAACTTTCAAAAGATAATTAAAACGCTCGTTTTGTTGTTTTATTTTAATTAGTTTATTTAGTACTATATTAACACAATTTTTTTGCTATTTTTGTTTTAATTACTTTATTTAAAATTTAAATAAAACATTAGTTTTACCGTTTTTAGTTTATTTAAAAATTTACAATTCTGAGGTAAGAAAAAAAAAAAAAAAATGCCGACCTTAGACAGTCACAGTGTCTGAGGTCACAGTCAGACATTGCTGAATGCCGACCATAAATTTGAGCTGATAATTCTAATGTTTGTTTTATGGGTTATTTAGGATCTGCATCATAGAGTTTATTAATTTGCTAGATCTATTTAATATTTTGGAAAACCAAAATATTAAATACATTTAAAAACAATCAATGAAATGCAGTGTACATTTCTAACTGCATTGTCCAAGAATATATAGAGATTATAAATATTGAATTAGTGCCTAATATTCTTACTGATATAATAAGTGTAGAATACACATTACTTGATTAACACTGATGAAGAAGACTGCTCACTATTAACAAAATAGACTCCTAGACTGTAGTGACTCTCAACCTTGGGAAGTTAATAACATTAAAAATACTTACACATGCATATATGTGTATATTATATATATATATATATATATATATATATATATATATATATATATATATATATATTTGAACTATATAAAGTAAAGTTTCAATTGGCCATTTATTTGCCAATTGAAACTTTACTTTATATAGTTCAAACAAAGATCAAAAACATCAACTCAAATATTTTTTCTAGAATGTATTGCATTCTAGGACTGACTACCATCTACGTTCGACCATTATGACAGAAGAAATGATACACCGACCTTTATTAAAAATTACAAAGTAATTAAGAACCATCTGAAAAAAATAATAATAATAAACTAGAGTAATATTTATTTTAATTATATTTTTTTAGATATTTGATTTACTTTGATTCTAAATCATAGTATCCCTGACTTAAACAAGTGACTTATTGTCCCGTGGATAATATAGGGTTGAGAAGTTGCAAAAAAATATTAAGTTTTTAATTTAGGTGCATATTGATTGGTCAGCTGTAAATTAGTCTTTTAAAATGGTCTGTTGTGCAGGTTTCGGTCCTATCCTTTGCCTTAATTAACAGTCAATGCTGCAGAAGTTGGCTCCAAATTATTTATACAAAGTAGTCTATCGAAACAGGAATTCTAATGAATCACAGGGTTCACAGTGCTCAGGAAAAAACCTGGAAAACCAGGGAAAAGTTTTTAAATTGTAAAAATCAGGGAATATCTGGAAAAGTCAGGGAACTTTTTTGGAAAATCCTATAACTCAGGGAATTGTTTTTGGTTTTATATATAACTTGAAGTTATTTTGTAACATACGAGTTTTTATTTTTATTGAAAGTTCACTAACGTGGTTTTATAACTTTTATAAAATAAAGTAACCATATGTTTAATTAAATATAAAACATAAAATATGACTTCAGAGAAGACCTTTTTTCAAGAAGATTGGTTACAACACCATATTTATAAAAGTGTTATTTAGGTAGAAAGCATCAATCTACTACAATCCTGTTAGCTATATTGTTGTTAATGGAAAAGAGTTGCGAGCTGAGCTGCTTAGATATAATACAACATTTTCCACCAAAAAATAAACGACTATTGATTTCTCAATTTAAATCATCTTTATCAACTATTGCTGAGATCATTTGATGTTGAAATCTTCATAAGGATTCTACTACTCTAATAATTCATGTGCAAATTTAAACAATTCTTTTAAAAAGATCTTTCTTGACAGTAAGGTAGCATAAGATTTCTGCATGAGTTCGTCAAAAATATCATACATTGTTAACCATGGACTGGCGCCATACTTCAAGACACTCGTTAAAAAAGAAATCACAAAATCAGATTGTTACATCGTATCTTTTGATGAGAGTTTGCAGGACTCAGCTAAAACATGAAAGATGGACCTACTCATTCGATAATGGGTTGTCAATAACAAAGTTAAAGTAAGATATTGGGCGTCAGCTTTTCTCAGTCATTCTCCAGCTTCTGACCTTCTTATTTTAATGAATACTTATCAGGCCTTGTTTTAAAGCGTTACGCCTAGAGCGATTTACGTACGCCTTAAGCGATTTTTACGTACGCGAAGAGCTGTTTTGGTTAAGCTACTTTTTATCATTTTTAAACTTTTAAATTAGCGGTAACATAAAAGAAGTAATTAATTTTTAAAAAAACCACATTAACTTTTAAATAACAATATGTAAAGATATTTATTAAAAAAATAAATTTACTTTGAAAATAATTGTTGTAACTTTTCATCGTGATAAATCTTTCCTTTTTATAGCAATTAATTTGACGCTAAACTTTTTATTCAAATATTTAGCAACATGAAAAATTGTTTGTCAATCCTTAACTACAAATTTTTTGCAATGTTTTTAATAAAAAGTAGTTTTTTTAAAGTTTTCAGTAAAAAACTTTTAAAAAATCTATATTCCATATTTATTAATACAAAATATAAATGTTTTTTGTAATATAGATTTTTTAAGAATTTTTTACTGAATTTATAATAAAAAACATTTGCAAAAAAATTTGTAATTAAGAATTGACATTTTTTTTTTAATATCTCAAAAAATGTCTTAATATTTTTGTTATCATGATAACAAAAATATCAAAACATTTTTTCGAGATATTAAAAAAAATGTCTTTACTTTTCTTATTAGTTAAAGGTATATAGATATATATTTTCTTATTAGTTAAAGGTAAAGGTATACCTTTACCTTTAACTTATGCGGGGGGAGGGGGTCGGCACAGAAAAAAAAATTATCTGTTACTTACAATATTTGAATGAAGAAAATTTGTTAAATTTCTTCTGCGTGCGATTCAATAAGTTTTTTTTTTCATAAATCAAGTTATATTATAAGGTAAAGAAATCATGAGTAGACTACAACATCCGCTGATGACACTAATATTACGTTGAATATATTTATATAACGGAGGTTTCATTATGTACGCGCACATTACAGATTCTGTTAAATAAAAGGCACGTTTTAGTTTAATGACAGTCTCCATTTTTTACTAATGAATATGTATTTTTCTTTATAAAGCAAAACAAACTAGTATATAAAAACCTTGTATATTTCTATTATCTCTAAATTGTTTAAAGTTCAAATATGGATTGTATTTTGAAGGACAAAAGATTTACTTTAAAAACTTTTAAATCTTGGGACTTTGCCGATGCTTTGCCGATGTGATGATCACAGAAAAAGAGAAGACTTACGTTATTAAAATCAAATGTAAGTTATGTGATCTTCATCAAAATAAAATATTATCCAAAAACAATGGTGCCGTAAGGGCAACTGCCCAACGGTTTATAAATAACACAAGTCATGTTAAAATATTTTAATGTGTTACTATATTTTAATTAAGTTGATATATAATTAAAAATAAAAAGTTCAATAAATAAATTAAATTTGTTCTTAACAAAGATTACCTCATATTTATTCTTTTTTTATTTTATTAAGTTAAATTCCTTACAAACGAAAAAAAAAAAGAGTTTTGTAATTATACGTAGAATGAAAATACTTTTGAGTTTGTTTATAAGTTAAGGAACTTAATTTTTAATAAACAAATTTTTACGAACGTTTATTATAAACAGATACGATTCAAATTATTAAATATACTTAAATTATTTCAGTTGAGTATTTTTTTAAGTTTGCACGATTAAAGTTTTGCGTAGAAGTATTTGTTTTTTTGTTTTAAGAATAATTAACAAAAGAGTTTGCATAATTAAGACTTTTATATTTAATTTAATTTTTTTTTTTTTATTTCCTAAAATTTAAAAAAAAAAAAAGATTTAATCATTAAAAACGATTTTTCTCTATAGCTCTGTTTCTTTGTGATTTGTTTAAAAAGTAAAATATTTTTACAATAACATAAAATATTTATGAATTAAATTCCTGGTGAACGCGTTCTAAAACTATGTATCAAAAATATGCTCAAAGCAGACAAAACTTTTTTATATTTTTATAAAACGCAAGTTGAAACGCTAAACAAGATAAGTTTAAAAAATATTCAAAATCCTAAATTTTTCTTTGCTAGTCAAAACAAAATCGTTGTTTAAATAATTAAAATGGGTTTGTGTTTATCAATGTTAATAATTTTTGTTTACTCTAGAAATTAAAAAAAAAAAAAAATATCATTATTTTTTATTCAATAACGTTTTATAAACAATAATTATTCAAAAACAAATTTCAGAAATAATTAAAATGTTTATAAATAAATATATATATATATTTTTTTTTACTAAATAATATTGAACTAAAATTAATAATAAAATAACAATTGCAAACATTTCAAACTTTTCATAATAAAATTACATTTAAAACGTTTATAGTTATTTGAGTTAATTGTTAAATTGAACTAGTTTGCGGTTATTTATTTATTGCGGTAGTTAAAACACTTAACGTTTATAAAAAAAAATAAAGATAATTTGATGACGTCAAAATCGCGTTAAGCTAATGCATTAAGCACTTTTTTATTTAAAACAAGGCATGCTTATCAAGATTTGATTTTAGTTTTGATATCAAGTAAAATGTTTCAAGTTTCCATGAACCCTCTACAAATTGAAATTTCTAGATGATCTAAATAAACACAAAAAAAACAACGAGATGCCACAGCTTATAAATTTTGTGAGATGCCACAGCTTATAAAGTTGCTCCTTGCATGTTATTCAGGGATTTAAAACAGCTATCGAATCAACACCATGGGATATTAAAGAAATTCTGAAAGGGTGTTAAAAACTCCTCACTACAGCCTGGCTAGGCATCAAGGTTATGAAGCAGTCACATACGCAACAAAATACCAACTTTTATGTTGGTGGATTAAAAATAAATATGTTGTAGATTGTGGCATTCAAATCTAGCCTAATATATTTGAGTTTTGGGAAAAGTTACCATCTTTAAACCAACCAAAATTAATATGCCTTTTAATTGTCAAAAAGCTGTTAAAGACAAACTTGTTCAAAATTTGAAGCTTTCAGCTTTTTTGCCAGCATAGTAGAGAAATATTTGTTGGCATACCAAACTGACAAGGTAATAATTCCATTCATGAATAGTGACTTAGAAAGACTGTTGGGGACCATACTGAACTTGTTTGTGAAACACAAAGTTATTGATAATTGGTCTATAGTAGAAGTTGATTTTCATAAAAAAGATTATCTACTTAAGGGAAATCAAATCAAACTAGGGTTTGCAGCTGAAACAAGATTAGCTTCTTTACAGAAGAAAGATATAATAAGTGTTTATGTTTCCAGAAATTAAATTGAAAAGCTCACAAGGATAAACAATTTTTATAGTCCACTTGGATTAATAAGAACCCTCAAACAAGTTAACAGAAACAATCTTTATCATTATTTATATGTTATAAAAATAAATGCACAAGACTTCAAGCACTATTGTTTAACAGCAAAGCTATTTAACTACAAGTTAGTCGCTTTTTTTAACATTGCTGTGCAAAAATTATCTATCCAAGATTGAAATGAACCTATGACTTATGCTAATATCAAATTTAAAGGGATTTTTAACTGCCGAGACAATTTGCGTTCATATTAAGGAAAATGTTTAAAAAAAATATTTGGGCTAAATTTTTTTAATTAAAACTTTATAATGAATGCACACCATTAAATTTAAAACTCGCGTTTTAGTTGAAGCTCGCCGTCTCCATTTTTTTTTTGGTTCTTAGAGTCTGTATAATGTTAGCCGCAATCTGCAGACTTGATAATTATTTCCATGTGTATTAATTCATAACAGTTTCGGTATATGACATCATCATATAAATTTTTTCTTTCAAGATGTCGTATTATTTTTATGCCAAAATCACCAAATCATGTTAATTGTATAACTTTTTACAAAATCTGAAAAAAAGTTTATGATTAAATTTTTAAAAATAAAAATTTAATATATAACAAATATTTACAGTAAAACATACTAAATATTTAAACTATATATAAACTAGATGCTAAAAGAATAATTTTACTAAAGCGTATAAATTAATTTAAAGTATAAACTGAAAAAAAAACGAGAGACTTGAATAAAACATATAAACTGAACTAAATAGAAAATAATTATTAAACAACTTATTTTACTTAATAACCATTCAAATCAAACTAAATTAAAGTTAAAACAAATATTTGTACTAAAATATACAAGAAATAGTTATAATATAAATATAAAAACAAAGAATCGCATTAAATTGTACGCTACCAGCGGAACAAAAATCTTTTAACAAAAATCTTTTTGTAGCAGCTGCACATTTTTTTGAATAACGTTTGAATAGCATAACATTGACAATTAATTAAAATTCGATAATAATAAAGTTTTTAACACGCTTCATTAAACAATAAGAAATGCAAAGTGCTTAAAACTATCCTTTTTGTAAGTAATAGCTAAAACATTAAGTCCAAAACAAACCTCATTTAATGAATAAAAATAATATTTTTTCTTCAAAATACTTTGGTAATTACTTAACTAAATACTTAACACTTACAAATTAATTTTACAGTGTTAACGCTGTTTTATTTTATAATTAAATTAAAATTTTTTTTATGAAGGATTATTCAAGATTTTTTAACTTTGTGATATTTTTTTTTATAATTACACAGTTATAGCTCTTACTTTTTCTTGATTATGTAGAGAATTAATTAACCTTCAAAACAAACAAATTCTATGTGTCTAGAATGGAAATTTATGTACTAAACAAGATAAATTGTAAAGCATACTTGAAAGCAGCTACCAGTGGCTTGCAGTAGTGAAAGAGTTAAACCAAATGTAAACTAAATGTAAATTAAACATAAAACAAACAACTCTATTGAACTATTTAAACTAAATATAAAACAAAAAACCGCATCATACTGCTTTTATTTTTTCTCTGCCTGAGAATTCTATATATATATATATATATATATATATAAATATATATATATATATATATATATATATATATATATTTATTTATATATTTATATATATATATATATATTTGTATAATTTTTTACTAAATCACAAATATTTTTTGTGATTTTTTTGTGAAAAAATTATACAACTATTTAATTTTCTGATTGTAGT